GGATGTCTTATATCAATGGATGTACAGAAAAGTTGTTTTTAAGTGCCAATAGCACCGACAAAGAGTCAGTACAGATGACAATCGTTTCCCTGGATGGGGCTAATGTAGTTAAGCATTTTGCTATTGCTAAAATCTCAGCAGTGTAGCTGCTACATATAGGTGGTGGGGTAAACATATATTGTGCATTATTATTATAAGTGAAAAAAGCAGCATCTGTTCATACATCATTTTTTGAACCATCCGTAAAACATAGTGCGGGATTTGAAAAGATATCTATTGTTTTATAAAATTCTTGACTACATGTAGGGGGGAGTACTCTGCTTAGAAAATTTAGTAAGGTCTAAGCATAAATAGGCTTTCGAAGCAGCCAGAGTGGTTTAGGTGAAATTCCAATTTTATAGAGAGGGGGATCGCAGCATTTATTAATTGTAAATGAGCAGCCACTCTAGATGGAAAATGCTTTCTTTGACATTGTAGGCTATTTTCAAACGGAATAGTTTCCACTTAGAAAAAGGGACACTAGAGGATGGGAAGGGCATGAGAGAATTTTCACTGCAAAGTTCAATCAAGTCTTAATCTCCGATGTTTGAGGGGCAATCCTCCGGCTTCAGCATGCCCACTAATAGATGGACTAGATCTAAATGCACCTATGGCTAGATGCAAACCTGTTTTTGTATCGGTTCAATCATGGACAATGTTTTGTCACTAGCAGAGCCGTATGCACAACTCCCATAGTCCAGTTTACAGTGAATGAGACATCGGTAAATTTTTAGCATGCTAGCTCTATCAGCACCCCATGTCGTTCCACTAATCATTCGGAGAAAATTGATAGAATTCGAGCATTGTGCTTCCAGTGTTTTCAAATGTTTAGACCAATTAAGAGTACGATCGAAGATTACTCCTAAATGTGGGATAGAATCAGCAAAGTCTACAGTTGTGCCATGAATTTTAAGTGACATATTAGTATGAGGCCTTCTCTTTGCAAAAAAGGACTGCTTTAGTTTTTGACAATGAAATCTTGAAACTAGTTTTGGTTAGCCAATTGGAAGCAACATTCAGAGCTTCCTGAATATTTTCTTCCATTATACTTAAATTTTTTCCTGTTTGATAGATAACAATGTCATCAGCATAAAGCATTATCTGAATTGGTAACTTTATTTTGTTAGTTATATTATTAAGTCCTTTGCAGAAAAACATGGCACTAGGAACACAACCCTGTGGCACCCCATTTTCTTGGATAAATTCTTTAGATTCAGCCATCCCGCATCTCACTCTAAATCGTCTATCAGATAGAAAATTTACAATAAATTTTAGCACATTACCATTAATACCCATTTTAATAAGTGAGTTTATTATTAATCGTCTGCATGTTCGATCGAACGCATTTTCTAGATCTAGGAAAACAGCTAGGATTCTTTCACCATTATTAAATGTATTCAGAATGTCAAACTCTAAACCAACTATGTTGTCAAGTGTAGATCTTTCTTTTCTGAAACCACTTTGCCAAGAAAACAATAAATTATTTGATTCACGAAACCACTGGATTCTATTATTTATTAATTTTTCTAATAGTTTGCACAATGAACAAGTCATTGAAATGAGTCTATAACTAGTTACTAAGAGAGGGAATTTATCTCTTTTGAGAATTGGAACTGCTATGGCTTGTGACCATATCTTCGGAAATAGACCTTCTAAAAAGTTCCTATTCATGTAGTCAAGTACCACTTTTTTGTCTTTGCCCTTTAAGTTTTTTTATCAAGCTTATGCATATATGGTCTGGGCCAGGAGTTAAGTCTTTTCTACTTTTCAATGCGTGTTCAAATTTGTTTTCAGAAAAAGGTTTATTTAAAGGGTTTGCAGGATCTGATTCATGATTAATTGGGAGCAACTCAATTTCATATTTGTGAACCATAAGATTGGGTGCAATGTTGCTGTCTGCAGAAAGGTTATATAAATTTTGTCCTAGTAAGTTCACGATTGCATTTTGATCAGTGACATGTATTTTGGTCATAAAGACAATTTACAGGGGGTGAAGAAACAATACCTTTGATTCTTTTAACTGTATCCCAAAACATTTTGCTGGGGGTGTGGCTACTAAGATTATCAAGAAAGTTTTTCCAAGACTGCGTTTTACTCTTCTTTGTAATATACCTGAATTTCTTTTTCGCGTGGTTTGGGGAGGGCATTCAATACTTCGGTAGAAGGTCGCCTGAGAAATTTCCTCAAACATTTCTTCCTTTCCCTAAACGCACTTTCGCACTCTGCTGTCCACCATGGTACAGGATTGGTTTTCTTATTATAAGGAAAATTGCTGGATTGAGAAATGGCAGTTTCAACTGCTTTAACTATGCTTGAATTTAATTCTAAAGTCAAATCATCGATGTCTGTGTCATTTAGTTTAAGTTGGACAGATCTACTAGGTTTTGGAAAAGGGGCCAGTTTGCTTTGTCTATTTTCCATTTATGTGGTCGTTGATTTGCCAAAACAGTGTTATTACTTTCAATGATTATTGGAAAGTGGTCACTTCCATGAGTGTCATCTATTCTGTACCATGTCAAACGGGAGTGAAGAGTTGGCGATGGAGACTCAAGTCAATATTAGAGAGCTTTCCAGATCTTATACTAAGATGAGTATTAAAATTATTTAGGTTGCTTAGGTTCATAAAACAATAACTCTACTACCATGTTCATCCAAGTTGCTTCCACCCCATAGTGGATGATGTCCATTTAGGTCACCTAATATTAGAACCAGTTGAGGGAGGTGATTATATACATCAATAGTTCATTTATTTCGATTTTTTGACCAGGAGAAATGTATAGGGAGCACACTGTACATTGGAATGGGGTTAATATTCTAGCAGCTATAATTTGTAATTAGAACCTGTGTCTATTTCAAAATATGGAATTTCATTTTTAATCAGAATACTCACATCACCGCATGCAATTAGCCCACCCGTATGGTCTTTTCTGAGTATATCATATTGTCTGAAATAGAATTTTTGATTGGGTTTAAGGTTTGTTTCTTGTAGGCATAATATAGATAAATTTAAATTTTTTAACAAATATTCAATATCATTTTTTCTATGTATAGCTCCATTTACATTCCATTGCAGTATTCGCATTTACTAATCCTTTTAGAATGTATATTGCCTAAATTTTCCTATTTGTTTGAGTACCTAATTGTGATTCAACAACTTGTTGGACGCTTGCTGGGTTTTTCAGTTTTTTTAAGTTTAACTTTATGGTGGGTAGATGTTGAGTTGTTTCCCGGATTTACTGATTTTTGCATACTGCTGTTGGCACTATTTTCACTTGATGAAAATTTTGAGAAATTGGCTTCTTTAGGGTTACGTAAACATTTTTAGGGTTAGCGTTTTTAACCTGATCCATTGTTATCGGTATTAATGCCTTTTTAAGAGTTTTTCGCAAAGTTTGCCACTGTTCAGAGCTTGTGGCCTCAAAAGATTTTTTAGGTGGCTAGAGATATCCTTGTGAGGATGATCTTTCTTGCTTCCTCAATTTCGCTTTTCACTAGCTGATCTGCTTGTTTATTACCTTGCATGAGCAGTGTTTGTTACCATGCAGTTTTTCTTCTGTATTATTACGTGAATTACGAGCTTTATTCTTTTCTCGAAAACTACATGGTTTTCGAGCTTAATTCCTTCTCCAATCGACTCAGCAGGTCCAATTACATCGAACAAGACAATAAACAATGTTTGGGATTTGTTGCGTTTTTCTCGAAATATAATTGGTTTATTAGTTCCTTTTTCCAACCCACTCAGCAGGTCGATTTACGTCGAAAAATAAAATAAAAATATTTTCCGATTTTTTGCATTTTTCTCATGGTTTAAGAGCTTAATTCCTCTTCCAATCGACTCAACAGGCGATTAACATCGACAAATAAATAAAGAATTTTTCAGTTTTTTGCATTTTTTCGAAAACTACGTCGTTACTTGCTTAATTCCTTTTCCAAACGACTCATGAAGTTGATTTACATCGAAAAAAACAACAATTTTTCGTTTTTTTGCGTTTTTCTCGAAAACTACGTTTTAGAGCTTAAGTCTATTCATTGTTTGGCTTGGTGAGATGTGGTCTTGTGTGATGTAGTTTTGGAAAAACATTTTCTTTATTGTGCCATTTCGTTCTTTATTTAGATCGTCTTCAGGGCTGAAAGTGTGCGTCTTCTTTGTAGATGTGTCACGGTTGGGTGTCATGGTGCGAGCGTTAGTAAACATTGTAAACTACATTCTTTGCCAAACCATCAAAAAACAACTTTCCATATATTAAATAAATTAATCTTTATGTAAGGTATGGGTTGAGATAAAAAAGTCAGTGTCACGAGCGGGATTCCAACCCATGACCTGTGGCTAAATACGCCGCCGCTAACCCAACCTTTCGAAATTTCCCTCCTTTTTATCTCAACCCATCCCTTAAATAAGATTAATTAATTTAAAGATGTTATTTAGTCAATCGGACCACGAAATCTAATGAATTTAATAAGTTAAATGAAGTATATCTTCACTAAAGCTCTCCGTGGCCATTTCATTTGTCGCCGAGAACCAAATAGATTACACATTTGAAAAGTTTAAAAAGGAGGGAAAATTCGAAAGGTTCGTTAGAGGTGGGTAGTTGGTGTCTGAGTAGATTTAGTTAGTCACGATAGCTCAAGTGGTAGGGCAGCAGCGTATTTAGCTGAAGGTCGTGGGTTCGAATCCCGCTCGTGACACTGATTTTTGTATCTCAACCCATACTTTACATAAAGATTAATTAATTGAAAGATGTTATTAGGGCAATCGGAATACGAAATCTAATGAATTTAATATTAAGTAAATCTAAATATATGGGTGATTGAATTAATAATAGTCTGGATTGAACTAAAAAACCTAATTCCTAAAGATATATCAACCTTAACTACTGACCAAATGTCACATTTATTGCTTCAGCGGTTTCTGCTTGGCGGTAAGAATTTTTTTCCCGTAAAAAAGAATAATAAAACGATGATTACCTTAAATTATTTATTTTTTAATTTTTTTAATGGTGGTTTTGGACATTCCTTTCTTCGACTTTGTCATTTTTCTTCTCTGATCTTTTGTTAGTGTGAAAATGAGTTTTTTGAATTCGAGCTGTCAATATAATTCTGGACGTAATGTCACGTTTTTATTTATTTCTAAAAAGAAAATGTAAAACAAATTAAATCATGTGTTAGAAAATGTAGGTTTTAAATTTTACCTTTTGGGTAGAGTTTTCTTCTTTTTAACTGGTCGGTCCACAAACATGCTCTCGGTTCCACTCAAAACTTTCCCATATTTGACAGAATCTGTAGACGGATTTCCATATATGAAACGAGGAGGTGCTGAGACATAGCTGCGTAAAAACGGGATTCGAGCGACGAACTCGTCACTCCACAAAACATCATTTAAGAGTTTCCCAATGACAAATAGCGCGAATTCTTCGAGTACGGCTACAACGTATAATAGCAATCTTATCACGAGCGAACGAGTTTTAAAGAAAGGAATCGGCCACACGTCAGTGGCGTAATGAATTATATGTAGCCATATGAAGTAAAATGTCCACTCTGTATTTATCACAATTAGTGCGATGACAAATTTGGAAGATTCCCCAGCACAAAAGACAACATCGAATAGTAAAATAATGGGATTGGACGTGAAGAGAATATGACGCATCCAATTCGAACCAACGTCTCCCAGCATTGCTATATTGAACCAAGTTAATACCCAAAACGTCACACAGGTATACAGCCCAAGCGGTATAGCAATCGCAGATCTGATGAAAGACCTCGCCTTCAACCATCCTGCAGGAGCGTCCAAAGTATACGAACAATTTGTCATAATATCAACGGTGAGAGCAAAAAAGAAATATAACAACTGGATTACTGCATTCAACATACTGACATATTTGAAGGAATAAGCAAATTTCATGTAGAAATCCTGGTCGTCCTCGGTAACATCGTGATACAAGCGAAAACATACTCCGGCGGAAAAGGTAAGGAAACCAACAGTGTGGACGATGATAGAAAAAGTGAGATAGACAAGTCGGTGTTTTCTTTCGAAATCTATCTCCATGTTTTATGTAGTTACGGAATATGTTTATTAAATATAATATGTTTTCCAATTTTGCTTTTGTTTTTTGAATGGCGAGCTCTTGGTTCTGAAAATATGTGATCTTAGAGAGCAAATTGTTATAATAAAATATTAAGTCGTAGCAGTAATACTTACATGTGAGAGGCGATTAATCTTCAATTCTAAAAAAGTTCAGTTTTTCATTTCCTTTGTAATACCTAGTCCTACTGTGCCAAACTTTAATTTGGAATTCAACAATCTTAATAATTTACTAAACGTTCACGTACCGTCTAAATATCACCTGATACTTAGCATTGTTGTTAGCATTGGCAAAATTCCAACCAACAGACTACATCACAAAAATATTTTCAATCATATATAAAATATTATCTGCCACATTCCTAAATGTGCCCTTGATTCCTTAGCCAACTGTGAAACTTCGTCTTAAGAACCACATACCCCCTAATCTGATAAAAATTGGCCTCCATTATCATGCTCCTGAAACCAAAAAAGCCATTGCTCTTCATATAGACCAATCTTTGAAAAACTCCTCATGCACCGACAGTATCCAAACCCTGATTCCCTTCATTTAATCCCTCATCAGTTGGGGCTTCCGACACCAACTCTCTACAGTTCTATGGCGCCGTGTTGTAGACGTTATTGCCCCGTACTTCGAGCAAAAGCAGTATTGCGTGGATGTCCGTCTTTGTCTTCTGCAAGCATTTCATCGAGTTTGGCCTGCTGGGATGATGTGTAAATGTAAACTGAAATTCATCGTTAATCCTTCCTACTATGTATTACCTTATCCTAAAGTCCCCCATGATCTTCTGGGTAACGTACGGTATTCACATTCACCATTCGGATGATAGGGAGTCAGCCGCGGACGGCGGGTGCCGGGTCAGCTGCACAGAGGGGTTATGGTTTCAGATCCTGTAGCGCAAGAGTGTTCCAAGTTCCAAGCCCAGCAGCGCGTTCGTGAGAATGGGATCGGAGGTGAGACCCTTGGTGTGTACTTAGAGAAGAGCCTTATGTTCTGTGGTGGCTTTACCGACGGCAGTGTTCCTTTAAGGGGTGGTTAGAAATTCCACTGTAAACAAAACCTCGCTAGGAGCGGATCAGGTAGTTCCGACGCCAGTGGGGCCCCTACACCCAGGGGGATAGAGTTGATCTCTATGTAGATAGTATTGCACGGTTAATCACGTGATGCATTTCAGCACCAAGTGGAACGTTTTCCAACAGCCATGCGGCACACGATCGGGTATATACATGTTGACGCACCCTTTCTGACGGGGCAAGCGGGAGAAGTGTTCTGCAATATCTATATATAATTTATTATTACGCAATTACAAAAACTAGAATACGATTATTTAATGGCTTATATTCGTTTTAGAGTTCATCGGCAGATAATTTCTTCCTCATTAAAAGTAATACGTATTCAATCGATCCGATTAAGCATTTCGTAGTTGCTGATTGAATGAAATTTCAACATGAGTCCAAATCTCACCATTCTAAGGTTCTACTGGCGTTCTACAAAATAAATAAATAAATAATAATTACATCCATTTACGTGATGTGCAATACTTAAAATAAATAAAATCATGTGTTGGAAAATGTAAGTTTTCAATTTTACCGGTTGGTTTCTTTTTTCTTCTTTTTACGTGGTCTGTCCACAAGCAGGCTTTCGGTACGACTCAAGAATTGTCTGAATTTGGCAGATTCTGTAGACGGCTGTCCGAAAATGAAACGAGGAGGCGCTGTGACAAAATTGCGGAATATCGGGATGCGACTGACAAAATTTTCATCCCACAGAAAGTCGTTTAGGATCTTCCCAATCACAAAGCTCAAGTAAACTTCTAGTACGTTAAAAACGTATAATATCAACCTCTCCACGAGCGTAAGATGTTTCAAAACAGAAACAGCCCACACTCCAGTGAAGTGATAAAGGATGTGCAGCCATATGAAGTAAAGTGTACATGGAATGTGCATCACAATCAGAGCGGTGCCAATGCGGACAGATTCCCCCTTGCAAAAGATCACATCAAGCAGTAAAAAAAGTGTGTTTGACGTATAAATTATGTGACGCGTCCATTTCGGACCGGAATCCGCCATCAACCCTACATCGTACCAAATGAATATCCAAAACGTTACACACGTATATGATCCATATGGTATAGCTATCGCCGATCTGTAGAAAGATCTCACCATCAGCCATCTGGGAGGAGCGTCCATAGTATACGAACAACTTATCATAATATCAACTATGAGAGCTATAAGGAAATATATCGACTGGACTACTGCATTCTGCGTTGAAACATATTTAAAGGAGTAACCAAATTTTAGGTACAAATCCTTGTGCGGGTTGGAAATATCGTGATAAATGCGAAGGCTTGTGGCTGCGGAAAAGTTCAACAAACCACCAATGTGGACCAACGTAGATATATTGAGATAGGCGAGTCTATGTTTGCTTTCGAACTCTACCTCCATGTTTTCTTTAAGCTCGAAATATTGTCACAATTATTAAACATAAAATATTGTTAAACTTGATTTTTTCGTTCTGTTTAAACCTTTTTTAGAGATGGTGATGTCAGCTCTATGATCTGAAAATACGTTTGTTCTGAGAGAGAAAATTATGATAAAATATGAAAAGAAACATAAATAGGACTTACGTGTAAGGGTGATTATCGTTCAATTTTAAAGTATCCTTTCTATTATATATTTTTTCTGTGCCAAAAGCCAATTTGGAATTTATCCATTTTACTGAAAAATGTACTAAAAGTGAAGGAATAGTTATATTACTAAATTATAACTTAGGAAAATAAAATTTAAATAATAACACCTGATCCTTAATCACCAGTCTACCAAAAAAAATGGTTGGTAAGAGGCGTATATCAACAAACTCCTGGGCAAATGGCCGATAGTCTGGGATACTCACCGTTCTCTCTCTCTCTCTCTCTCTCTCTCTCTCTCTCTCTCTCTCTCTCTCTCTCTCTCTCTCTCTCTCGCTCTCTCTCTCTCTGCCTCTCTGTTCTTATCCTTCTATCCATCTATCTACCTATCTCTTTTTTTCTCTTTCTTTTTTTTCTTTCTTTACTCTGCCTCTCTCGATCTGTATGCCTGCCTATATGTCTATCTAGATTTATCTTTCTGTATATATGAATTATGCCTGTCACTCTCTCCCTCTGTTTCTTTCTTTCTCTCTATTTTACTCTTTTTTTTTTATTTCTTTACTCTATCTCTCTCTCTCTCTATCGGTAAGCCTGTCTATATGTCTATCTAGATTTATCTTTCTATCTATCTACACGAATTACGTCTCAGTCTCTCTCTCACTCTCTTTCTCTCTCTTTTTCTCTTTCTTTCTTTCTCTTCTCTACCTCTCTCTATCTGTATGCCTGTCTATATGTCTATCTAGATTTATCTTTCTTTCTATCTACGATGTCTCAGAGAGTCTCTCTCTCTCACTCTCTCTTTCTCTTTCAATCTATCTTTCTATCCATTATTGTATCTACCATTCTCTTTATCTGTATGTATGTTAATCTATCTATCTCTATCTGTTTCATAAACAGTTTTTCTACAATATCACTTTTCAATCTATCTCACTCCCCCTCTCTCATCCATTGTTTCTCCATTTTTCGCCCTTCCACGGTATAAAGTTCCACGGGATATAACTTTGGGTGGTAAAATGATAGCAAATGTTTGGAGAAAAAAAAGTTTTTCAGTAATAATAATTATAGTTAACTTAATAAGGAACAGTATCGTATGTACGTAGAACGTGCAACAGTATCACATGTAATATATACTATAGCCTTACACACTTTCCAATATAATTTATCAATATCTTTTTTTTCTTCTGTCCGACCATCTGTCTCTCCTTTTCTCGTCTTACACCTTGTCATAAAATACTACAAGAAATTACTTACAACTACGAAGAATATCAACGCACAGATAATATGCTCTCTCTGCCTCCCTCTCTCTCTCTCCCTCTCTCTTTCTCTTCTCTCTAAAAAGTGAAAATAAAGCTTTTACCAAGGAGATGAAGAAGCAACATATAGAAAGTGATTACAAGCTCATCTTGAAGAGACATTCAAACAAACAAGATGAAGAACAAAAGTGTTTGTGTGATTTTGTAGTAAAAGTTCTGTGGTATAAATCTAAAAATAGCTTACTGGCTCTACCTCTGGTCACATATGATGGCCATAAAGTTTGTAAAAACCTAAATGTAAAAAAGTCTCAACATTACAGGTGCAACGCTAACGTGCCCAATTTCAGCACTTTTCTGAGACTGCAATACTTGCTTAGATACAGAGGATAGCTTAAAAAAGTGAAAATTAAGAGAAAGCCATCATAATGAAAAAATTAATCTAAAAATGCCAGGCAAAATGAAATTAAAAGACAAATAGGCAGGCTTTCAAAATATAAATATAAATGACAAGTTTGGAGAAATAAAATCCTGAAGAGAAACCTCTTGGCCCACACCATGAATTGTCCAAGATGAAATACATGCAATATAACTCTGGGCATAAGAAATACTTAAAAAGGTATTAAAAGGGTCATAGATATATTCTCAGACAGCCAAGAACTGATGTCTTTAGAGGCCTCTACATTTAACTGAAAAGTCTGGAAATGTCAAAGACATCTCCAATTACTGGGGAAACGAAATACAAACTCTGATGTGGGTGCCACGACACAAGGAGCTTAAAAAAAGATAAGGTGATAAACTAGAAAAAAATAGGATTAGCTCTCATAACCTTTGAACCAGAACTGCAAATTGGCATGCCCCAAAATATGCTAAAGTCGGAACAAATGGATGGAGAACAAAAGGACCACATACAGGGAAATTCATTGGGTGGAAAACAAAGATCTACACCTGTCCAGCTAGGAAAAGAAAAATCTACATTTATTTCAGCAGGGAAAATAATAAGACTTTAAAGAGTCAAGCAAAGCCATTGCACTTTTAATCACCTCAAAAAATGGGATAGAAACATTCACATGACTACGTCGTGAAAAAGCTTCGATATTATAACATATACAATGTAACTGAAAAGTATTTGTTTCCTTGATTGATATGATAGAAAAGGGCCATGGAAGAATGATGAACTTTGTAACCAGCCTAGTGATAGGGAGTAGTGACCATTTGATATAAGTGTTGTAAGATTTAATCCTTTGAGAGCTATAGTATCCCCCGTTCTGTCACAGAGCACACCGGTTAGTCCTCGTACATCAAGAAATTTGATTAGGAGGCCCGGTTTCAAGGGTTGAATTTCTTCTGCAGTTACGTTATATGTCCCAAAGCATTTTTTCCTGCGGGCAAGTGTACCGACACAGTTTGTTAGTAGGTGCGTTGATATTTCCTCCGCTTCCTTGCACAAACTGCTTATGCTGGATTGTACCATTCTTTTTCAAAGTTAAGAATCCTTTTATGAGTCGTAGATTTGTCCTGATTCCTTTGTTGCATTATGTTGTTTTTGTCCTTCCGAAACTCGCTAAGAGGTAGATTGTCTGTGTCCAATGAGTTAGTTTCACTGTTATATTTTAAGTCTGTCTTTTTATATAGATATTCATTGATTGTGCGAATCCGTCATAGAAAGCCTCAGAACCTTTCAACGGTATAACAGCCTCTTCCATATAAGTGTTTCCCTCTACTCCTACATGTCCTGGGACCCTGCAGAGTAACTTTATTTTGCATACCCAATTCAGTTAATTTATTTTTGCAATTCAGCACCATCTTTGAGCTTAGCGCTCGGCTATCTGACATATGTTCTTATTTTACACTTTATTGTTGAATATAGTTGAATCTTTGAATTGCTTGGCTGAAGCTAGATACTAGTGCACTTTCCCAGTAGTCTGAGTATTTGGATCAGGCCATTTGATAAAACTGTAGTTTTCTTATACACTAAATTACAAGGCAATTATTTAAAATTTTTATAAAGTTTTTAAATTTTTTTAGGATGGTGGCTGTAGATCCTAATTCAATGTTCTATTTTCTCTTCAGAACAAGTGCCACATAACAATCGTTATTCCACTTTGTCATTTTATCATTGATGATGTGAAAAAGAAGCTATTCTTAGTCACGTTAAATTCAGTAAATTTCTACATATTTTCAACTGTCACTATTTCTTGGAACTGGACGTCTACAAAAAATATTATTTCAATTTTTAATAATAATTTTAAAAGATAAAGCCATATGTTGAAAAAACGTAGCGATAAATTTTACCGGTTGGGTTGGCTGCGTTTTCTGTTTATTAACCGGTCGGTCCACATATAAGATCTCTGTTCTACTCAACACTTTTCCGAATGTGGTAGAATCTTTAGACGGATGTCCATATATGAAACGAGGGGGCGGTGAAACAAAATTACGTAAAACTGGGATTCGAAGGACGAATTCTTCATCCCACAAAATGTCGTTTAGGATCTTCCCAATGGCATAATACACATACAGTCCGAATATGTGAACAATGTACATTATCAACCTTTCCAAGAGTGTAAGATGACTCATGAAAGTAACCGCCCACACCTCAGTGAAGTGATAAATAACGTGCAGCCATACGAAGTAAAGTATACTCGGAATATTTATCACAAGTAGAGTTACGAGCATGCCGGACGATTTTCCCTTGCAGAAGATTACATCCAAAAGTAAAAAAATGGCGTTTGACGTGTAGAGGAAGTGACGCGACCAGTCCTGACCGTAATCCTCAAACAAAGCGTCATCGTACCATGTTAATACCCAAAATGTCACAAAAGTATATAGCCCAACTGGTATAATAATCGCCGATCTGAGGAACGATCTCACCATCAGACATCTGGGAGGAGCGTCCATGGTATACGAACAACTTATCATAATATCAACTATGAGAGCTATAAGGAAATATATCGACTGGATTAATGCGTTTAGCATGGTGATATATTTCAAGGAATAAGCAAATCTCGTGTAGAAATCCTGTTGGGGTTTTGTAATATCGCGATACATGCAAAAACACGCAACTGCAGAAAAGTTAAGGAAGCCGAGAACATGGACTACATTGACATGAAGAGATAGGCGACTGGGTGCTTACTTTCGAAAGCTACTTCCATGTTTTCTACCAAGTCGAACTATGGTTACTCTTATTAAAAATCAACAGTTACTAATTTTGTTTTTCTTTTGTTTCAACAATTTTTTGAGATAGCATGTTTGACTTCTTTGTTCTGAACATATCTTCTGTGAATACCAATGATTTTAATAAAACATAAAAGGGAACTGGTAAAATGGACTTACATACTAATGCGATTAATCTCCCAATACAAACTCTTCTGGAACTCATCTATCCTACTGAATAATTTACTCAGTGCGAACGTATTTACCATGTTATTAAATTGTAAAGTATTATTAAAATAAAATTAAAAGAACACCAGATACTAACTAACCACTCGGCTACCGCGGTCCCCAACACCTGATACTAAGAAGTGAAGAAACATATTTGACCAGTCTATAACAAGAAAAATTATTTATGTAAGCGTAGGAAGTGTTTTTGAACATCAACAGAATCTAATATCCTCAGCAACCAAACGTTATACTCAAAAGAACCCAGATACATTTTCCAACTCATTACTACCTCACTAACTTCATTATCCACAACGTCTTCGACATCTGTTAAGGAAATGATCCATTGCCGCTGGCAAAGTGCCACACCATACTTTCGATCCATCTATAGACCTTGTGCTTAAAAGTTATCAACACTTTTTCATCCTGCGAACCCGTTATAGAGGCTCCGAATCCTCCTCGCCACTTAATCTGATAACAGATTGCTTTTATGCTTAGTGATAGCGTAGCCATCTTCTACATCGTCTGAATCAACAGTATTCAGACAAATTGTCAGAGTTCCTTAGTATGTCTCTTACCTCACTGTCCATTGTGACCTTAATATTTTGCCAACTAACTGATCCCATCTCGTATTCAAAAGGTCCATATTAAGCTTTCGATCTATTTCTAATTCTAACTCCACAAGCTTACACTTTCTCACTTTGTAACCCTCATATCTTATACAATAATGGATCATTTTCCCTTCTTATCACTTATTTTGAATGCCATAGTTGACTAGTTACTATTAGACCTGTGCCCTCAGGGTTCAAGTACTGGTATTTGTGCAGGAAACAAATATACAATTTATTTTTAAAAAGTTTAGAGATATTCATAAATCTATTTTTGATTTATGTTCAACTGTATGAAGATATAATGCATTATAAAAATAATGCTATATACGGTAAATTTTAATAACGAGAAATTTGATGAAACATTGATCAGGTGTTATTTGTCGTATAAGTGTTATTTCGAAAATTTTAGCACCATCTGACTACTTTAAAAGCGATAAATGTTGAACTATTGGCATTTGATGATTTATTCACACCTGGAAGTTACTGAGTTCTTCGTCGTATTAATTATTACACTGGAGAACAATAATTTCCCGAACGAAGATATCATTCGCCACCTCTGAGGTTCGGTTAAAGCAAAAAGAAAAAACTTGTAAAAAATATATTTTATAACCACTGTCATTACAGTGTTTTGAATTAATAGAAGATATGCAGGAGTTGGAAAGGAAACACTGAGTTTCCTCTCTCGTTCCCTCTGAGGCTGTCTTCACTCTTGGTATGCTTCATTTTGCCTTGGTAATATCAATACGCATGTATTATGATATGACGCATTGCGAGCAGAATTTCTACATGAATTCGTAGCCTTATTGATGCAATATATCACATGCCGTACAACGTAATAACAGTCGCCGTCGATTTTGCTCGTATACTCTAGATGCCCCGATACGTTGGGAATGAGGTTTTTCATCAGGTCGACGGTCGCTATCACAATCGGAATGTACACCGAGATTCTAGATATTTAGTTGGCTGAATTTAAAAATTTTGGGGACGAGCTGTTATCCAAATTGGTTCAGACATTTACTATACTCGACTAACCCGTTTTTTTTCGATATGCGATGTCATCAGTAGCAGCAGCGAACACGCAGGCACGATTGTCGCGCTCGTCTCGTTAAATTTTATAGGTGCAGTGTATTTCATATGGCTTCATATCATTTAACACATAACAAGCATATGGGCAGTTGATTTTGTAAAAGATATCACCCTCCTTGCAAGGCTGATACGTTACAAGCTTACCGTGTTGGTGGAATTCGTTTATTTTCCCATTGCCAAGCATTTCAACGACATTTTGTGGAATGACGAATACGTTTCTCAACTTTCTTATTTTCTAATATGTAGGGAAAGGAATTGTTGAAGAATTAGACTTAGAAATGTTTGATGCGTGGAATGTAATGATTGTTTTATATGTTGTATGTGTTCTATTTATTTTATCGATTTTGAATTTGATTTATTATTAGCGTAGCTGCGAGTTACGTGTGTCTGTTCTGTAATTGATGCTGTGTTTACCTTTGTTGATGTAAACCATTTCTAAAAATTCTGTTTTCGGATTGTTGAAATCAAAGTTGTGTATGCAAAATGGTGCTGTAGGATTTTTTTTTTTTCCAATCATAGGTATGCAGTTTTACCCCCCTTATCCAAATATTGGGATGTAATAAAGAATTGATTTTATAAATCACGTCCGATTTGTTTGTTACTGGTGTGGGATCTTTAATTTTGGAAAGAGGAATGTGAACAGTTTTATAGCTTTTGAAGGCTATTTTAAAGTTATCAGAAGAGAAAAATGTGTTTAATTTATGTGAGACCATGAACATACATACAGGCCTGGGTATGTATATTGGTTTGTCGGTATTTGATAGAATTGATGTATTATTATTAGTAATAGTAATATATAATTATATATAATTTTTTGTTGAAAAATAGGGTTGTAGACATAATTTAATTATGTTATCTTCAGTGAAATTCTATGTATACATTAATCGTTAATCGACACATTTATCATTTGTTGGTGTGAAAGGGTGAAAAAGGAACATTTCGCATTCGAGTTGTAAAAATAAATGTTAAAAAGCAACCAATGTCAGGATTTTTATTTACTTTCAAAAAAATGTAAAACTTATAAAATCATGTGTTGGAAAATGTGGGTTTTAAATTTTAACTCTTGGGCTAATTCAAGGGGTAGAGCAGCGGCGTATTTAGCCGAAGGTCGTGGGTTCGAATCCCGCTCGTGACACTGACATTTGTATCTCAACCCATACTTTACATAAAGATTAATTAATTGAAAGATGTTATTAGGTCAATCGGACTACGAAATCTAATGAATTTAATATTAAGTAAATCTAAATATATGGGTGATTGAATAAATAATAGTCTGGATTGAACTAAAAACCTAATTCCTAAAGATATATCAACCTTAACTACTGGCCAAATGTCACATTTATTGCGTCAGCGGTTTCTGCTTGGCGGTAAGAATTTTTTTCCCGTAAAAAAGAATAATAAAACGATGATTACCTTAAATTATTTATTTTTTAATTTTTTAATGGTGGTTTTGGACATTCCTTTTTTCGACTTAGTCATTTTTCTTCTCTGATCTTTTGTTAGTGTGAAAATGAGTTTTTTGAATTCGAGCTGTCAATATAATTCTGGACGTAATGTCACGTTTTTATTTATTTCTAAAAAGAAAATGTAAAACAAATTAAATCATGTGTTAGAAAATGTAGGTTTTAAATTTTACCTTTTGGGTAGAGTTTTCTTCTTTTTAACTGGTCGGTCCACAAACATGCTCTCGGTTCCACTCAAAACTTTCCCATATTTGACAGAATCTGTAGACGGATTTCCATATATGAAACGAGGAGGTGCTGAGACATAGCTGCGTAAAAACGGGATTCGAGCGACGAACTCGTCACTCCACAAAACATCATTTAAGAGTTTCCCAATGACAAATAGCGCGAATTCTTCGAGTACGGCTACAACGTATAATAGCAATCTTATCACGAGCGAACGAGTTTTAAAGAAAGGAATCGGCCACACGTCAGTGGCGTAATGAATTATATGTAGCCATATGAAGTAAAATGTCCACTCTGTATTTATCACAATTAGTGCGATGACAAATTTGGAAGATTCCCCAGCACAAAAGACAACATCGAATAGTAAAATAATGGGATTGGACGTGAAGAGAATATGACGCATCCAATTCGAACCAACGTCTCCCAGCATTGCTATATTGAACCAAGTTAATACCCAAAACGTCACACAGGTATACAGCCCAAGCGGTATAGCAATCGCAGATCTGATGAAAGACCTCGCCTTCAACCATCCTGCAGGAGCATCCAAAGTATACGAACAATTTGTCATAATATCAACGGTGAGAGCAAAAAAGAAATATAACAACTGGATTACTGCATTCAACATACTGACATATTTGAAGGAATAAGCAAATTTCATGTAGAAATCCTGGTCGTCCTCGGTAGCATCGTGATACAAGCGAAAACATACTCTGCCTCCATGCTTTATATTGTTACGGAATATGTCGATTACACATCAATATGTTTTTCAATTTTGTTTTTGTTTTTTAAATGCCTAACTGTTGGTTCTAAAAATATGTGATCTTAAAGAGAAAATTGTTATAATAAAACATTAAGTCGTAGCATTAATAAGTTTATACGAGAGGCGATTAATCTCCAATTCTAAATAGTTCATTTTTTTTGTAATACATAATCATCCGTGATAAAATATAATTTGTAATTCGTGGATCCTACTGAATAATTTATTTCATGTGTTGTCTAAATGTCATTGAAAGTAGCATTGCAAAAAGATATTTTGATTCCACCCAACTTAAAAAAAAATATTCAAGCGTACGAATCGGGTTTGAATATCCAAAGAATCCATTGGAAATTGCTGATTCATTCATATAAGGCAAAATCTACATATGCATGTTCATACACGAGTTTATCGAGTTGAGCGTACACTTCTTGCAGTCCACCGGCATTTCCAGCTTTGCAATTGATAATATATTACCGGCAGGTGTGGAGAATCACCCATTCCGGATGTTGGCAGTCTGGGATCTTTTCTGTTCAGGCTCAAGGGCGTATCTACAGCTAGGGCATTTCAGCCCCCGACGCAATTAGTTTCTACACTCAAACCCGCTCACACTCTTCCTCTCTCTTAAATACAACAAGCCTATCACTCAGTAGGGTGGTGAAGCATTTGATTCCCTCCAACACGCTTTACACCTAAGATCCTTGACGGGAAACTCAATATTCCACCCTCGCACACTGCACCTTCTCGCCAGTATATTCATTTACTCTCAACATACACAATTGTGGACCCAAAATGAGATATCTATGTCACGTTTCGATTTGAATGTACCGCCATGCCCCTCCACACATATCTGACAGTGAAAGGAGTAGGGGCTAGGAAAGGGCTATTTTTTTTCAATTCCCTTTCTGTTCTCCATGGGTTAAGAGCTGTCTATTTAATAAAGTAAAATTTGATGTGCACACAATTCAAGTGAGTAAATTTTATATTTTGACGTCAAAAAACTAAAAATAATAATTGTATTTTAATTTAAAAAAGGGTTGTCACAAAAAATATATTTTTATAAAGAAAACTAAAAGAGATAGCATTTGATTTTACAAGTTATGTTAAAATAATATTGCATTTTCTAATTGGTGGTCAAAAATTAATATAATAACAATAACAATAATAATAATTTTCTTACCATTTTGACAGTAAAACATATTTTGGTCGACTGTCCCACTTTACAACCCTTTAGGCAAAGGCTCAACCTTTCGAGTGATTTACAGGAGTTACTGGGTCCCCAGTGTTTCTTTCGAAGAGCACTTTTCAGCTTTCTCAAATTTATTGGAATTTATAATGAGATTTAGGCCTTTTCCCAAATTGTTATATCATTGAATGCCTGCTAATGTTTGAATAAAAGTTGTGCGTGCAAGATTTCTTCTTTCAGAGGTTTTTGAGGCTGCCGGAGCGGAAAAATGAAATGGAAGAAAATACAAATTGCGGGGGAATAAACTGCAATGCCCAAAATCGCAATTTAAATAAGAAAAATAGCTCCCTCCAAAACAAAAAAAAAGAAGATAAAGATAAAGAAATGTTATTGTGTTTTGTTTCTTATTATTGTTATGTAGAATTAGTTTATGTATCATATTTGAATGGAAGAATAAAAGGATAAGGATGAGCCAATACTCATGCTGAGACTGTTGCTAGTCTGACTCCATTATTATTATTATTATTAGCCATACAAGCCTACGGGGAATTTTTAAATTATGGAACAAAATTCACAATTCTAATTAAAAAAAGAAACAGAAATAAATTTTATAAATTTATTAAATTTTATGCAATTTAAAATGGGAATTTTGTATGCATTTGGCCTTCCGAATTAAGAATTTTAAAAAGAAAAATTAAAGCTTGGATGGCAATAGGATAAATAAGATTACGAGTGAATGTTTGGAGTCAGAGCTTTATAGCACTCAGAAGAGATATAGCTAACCTAAGATAGAAGGTTTGGATGTTAGGGCGTGAAATGACCTTAGCCGTTAAAACGCCCTTAAAAATTAATAATAATAATAATAATAATAATAATTTTCTTTCAACGCCCTTAAAAATTAATAATAATAATAATAATAATAATAATTTTCTTTATAAAACGAGAATTAAATTAATATTTGTAGATTCTGAAGTAGGTTTTATTATAGAATAAAAGATTATTTAAATTAAAAATAAAGAAATTGTAATCTTATTTGAAAATAAATTGTAATAAAAGATTTAAATTTAATTAATATTTTGGTCTCGTATTTATTTTGGATTGAATTGAATGTTGGAATTTTATATATCAAAAAAAGGTGCCTGATCGTTAAATTAAATAATTGTAGTCAGGTCCGATCATAAGAAAACCTGTGGGACCTTGTTTTCGGTTCTCCGAATTCAGGGTTTGGCCCAAAACAGAAGAGGCACAATAAAATAACCCTGTTTCCTTCAAAAACCGGAACAAGGAACCAAATACTCGTGGCTCAAGCACTACTATCATGCCCCCGCTATATGGAGCCAAGGAATGGCACCCTATAATTAAGTGGGACACATCAAGCAATTTTTTCCTACATGCCGGACACATACATGGGCTTAGGCCCGAAAGTATGTGTCCGTATGTCAACATCGCCTAATCTTTATTGTGTAGGGACGACTCATTCTCACAGTGGTCTTGATAAGTAGAGCATCTCTGCCGATCCGGCCGACCAAAGCTGCCACTTTCTTTCAATAGTGTTTTTTTTAATTTTTAGCGTCAGGGAGACAGATCACGGTGGTTAATCCTGAGGCCCGGCCTTACCCGCCTCGTCTGCCTTTTCGTTACCCTCCAGACCTACGTGTGTACGTTTCTAGACAAGATCCACCTTTTTGCCGCTCTAGTTCACTGTATTTCTTCAACAAGAGCAACACGAAAGGGTCGACAGAGAGTTTTTCGCATACAGCAATAGCCGCGCTGGGGAAGTCGGTGCAGACTAGGTGGACAGAGCTAATATCGTCTGAAGTCACCCCCAAGCGCGAGTCATATCGCGCACAATTCCGACGTGTAAACGCCAGGATCGACCATAATCTGGACACACCCTCACCAGACTTAGACCCGTCTGTGAAGACGAGCCGGAAACCGGCGTACCACGATCTAATTTCCAAGAAAGTGGCTCTGAATTATATGAGTCAAAAAACCTTCATGGCATTTGATAAGTTAATGCGACATTACACAAACAAAATGCGAGAATGACAACTGTTTACGCCGATCGCCCTTTTGAACACTTCTGAATGTCTCCGGCCGGTCGGCGAGTCAGTTGTTGCCTAGAGTTACTGACGAAAACATCGACACAAATATGTAAACTCCGTGTTTGTCCTCAATTTATGATTTTCAATTGCCGTCGTCAAGTAAGCATTCGGTACCAAACGTCTGAATACGCCGGAGACTGTGAGGCTCTTCTAAGTCGAAGAAAGAAGAGGACAACTGTTGCCGAATTGCTTGATCTCGTACCGAGACACATTGGGGTAAGTGAAAGTTCAAATTTATCCCAATCCCCCCTTGAATTCATTTCGCTTTTTATATTTATATAGTCCACTTAACAAACATAAAATTTGGTCATCCGTCCCGGAGTACCAAATTTTATATACACAGTCCACTTAACAAACACAGCTGAAGGAATATTTAAAATCAAAATTCATAAACGTTTAAAAACCTGGGCAATATGTCATAATTTAAATCAGAAAATCACGATTCGTCGTCCGCGCCTGAAATAATTGCGATACAGTTTTTCCAAACCTCACTGTATTGCATGTTTAATATATCCTAGCGCCGCTTTTCGTAAAAGGATAAATTCGCCAATAATTAATCATCAAATAGTTTTGTCCTTACTAAATATCTCTGATCCGTCTATTCTCGCTTTTTTAAATTTAGTTTTCAAACAAGTGAAGTTGTATAATAAATCCTTTACAATCAATCACAATCATTAAAAGCACATTTTCACAGAGCGACCCTCAGAATTGTAACTCCTTAATCACATCGTTATAATCTACATTTCACTTCATTTATAATAAATAAAATTGTAAATAATTTTTTTCGGTATTGATTATGATCACGGTCAGCCGTTTTTGTTAATTTAACCATTTATTTGGAAATATCTAGGAAAGAATTGTTTCTCAACTATATAAAAGTGATTTTCTGTATTAACGTGTAGATTAGTAGAACAGAGATATGCTTCTAATTTAAACTATCATTGTTTTTTATATGTGTCTTAGAAACAATTTTTGCGACAAATGTTATGCTTCTGACAGCGTAAATTTAGTATGTTGCATGAAAGATCCCTGTGTGGAAAAAGTATAAAATTGTTATTACCTGTTTATTTTCAACCTAATGAACAATAAAAACCAACCTAGTTGTGCACGTAATTAAGTTTAACTTTTGTTGTCTAGTTGTAAATGTAAACCACTGCCAATGTCAGAAAAAAGAATTAAAACCTAACAAATACAATGTATTATTCAACTATCAAATTCAAGAATACCATATATTGTTGTTGGTATACTGCTGGGTATTCATTATTAATTACTGAAAAATAATTCATTACTTACAACTATCTTCAAATTAAAAAATCAATACGTCTAAATAATTCAACATTTTAATATTTACGCACTTTATTTGTAATTAGCTTCGAGTTAAATTCCGAGACTAAATTGTCAATAAAAAGACGTAAAGCTTCGTTTTATGTAAACAAAATCCAGAAAATCGAATCTTATCTCGATGGCAAATCAAACAGATGGCGATGAACTGGAATAACGCTTATTTGAATTTTTTCAAACGACGACAATTTTTATTGTAAATTGAATCTCCTTCAGTTTAATTTAACAAAAACCGGAGAGTGTTACGAAGGGAGAGAGAGAGAGAGAGAGAGAGAGAGAGAGAGAGAGAGAGAGTGAGAGAGAGAATGAATGAATGACTGGGTGAGTTAANAGAGAGAGAGAGAGAGAGAGAGAGAGAGAGAGAGAGAGAGAGAGAGAGAGAGAAAAGAGACCTTCTTTTTTATTTATAGTATATGTACATTTTTTCCCTTCTTTAACAGAGTGTTTTGTCCAGTAAATTACAATTATATAAATTTATAAATCGACATATTATACCCGAAAAAAATGCATATTTTAAAGTGTGTCAATCTTTAAAGTTTAATAAATCAATAAATGAGACAAAACAAAAAGAACAAATAAATAGGTAAATTCAAAATTAGTACATTTGCATTGCATCAAAGGCATCATTATACTCCAACACGTATTTATATATTCCTTAAGAAGTTATTTATCAAGTAGACAATCATTTTTCTTCTAATGCTTCCTATTGAGTTGTCTATGTTATATATATTTTATACTCACGAATTGTTTTAATAATGCCTAACATTTTTCAATTTTGGAGTTAATCTGTTCCTGCGATGATTTGTATATGTACAATTCAAGTAATAAGGAGAAAAAATACATAATTTGATTTTCTTTCCTATTGATAATTCGAACATCTTGGTAATTCAAATTATTTTTATAGTTCTTTGGGTTTCGAATTATCAAGAATCGAGAAGAATTTAGTTGCATATAAGGAGTGGAAATGTTGGATTCTGCCACTTCGACCGAAATTCAGTGCATCCAATCCTTACAATCGAAAGTCCTCAGACAAATCGTCAAAACTCCTTACTACGTCACTAACCTTACTATCCACAACGACCTCAATATTTCTTTTTTCAAAGACTGATCCGTTTCCGATTCCAAAAGTTTCACTACAACTTCTCGATCCATCCTAACCTTACAGCTGGGGCTCTTCTGCACATTCCCACCTCAAGAACACGCCACATTGTTTGATGGCCTCAAGACCTCACACTCAGTGCCAGCATTGGCTGGCCTCTCATAGCATGAGTCCTCCGGGTGGAACACTGGCACTAGGGATGTGACTGTGTGGAAAGAAAAACGTACATTGATCACATTTCTAATATATATAATACTTTATTGCAAAAAAGAAAAGTTGTAAACATTACATAATATATAATTTAAAGAAAATTTACGGCATGGAGTGTCGTTTAATGTACAATAAGTATAGATATATAAATTATTTGGGCCAGCAATTTAGAATGACAAGACTTTAAAATATTCAAAAATTAAATTCTACTATTAACTCTTGGCGATAGTGCCAGGCGTGGCGCGCATATTTGATTAAATTTTTGTAATCATTAAGCAGTAAGTCAATAACCTGTGCCACATTCAATTTAGCAAAATTTAGATGTAGAAGCCGAATCTCCGATAGGATAGTGCATTTTGCCATAAAATGCACAATTGTCTTCTTTAACCTGGTCATCGCATAATGAACAAATTACATTTTCTCTAGCCCGAAAAGGTGCACCATTGAGTTAAAGGTGGTCCCCTCTGATTTGGAATAACCACCTTAACTCGACCAATGACAAACCTTTAGACCTGTCCTTAGATAGGTTAAACATATTAAAATCTTCACGAAGTTCTTCACTGAAATTGACACTCAGTTTTGTTATAATTTCCTTAAACTTGAAAGGCCACTCATTCAAGTTATTTATAGAAAATGATGAGTCACATGATAGATCCCTACACATGCTATTCCAACGTTCAAACTACAATGCACCACGACTAACGACTTCCAGGGCTTCTATTTTGGAAAGACGGTAATCAGGATGTTTCAAGAGTTTAAAGATGTAATTAAAAAGGAGTTTGAAAGTATATAAAAATACCGGGTCAACTTTAGTCTCTAAATAAATCATAAAATTCGTGGTGGTTTTGGGAAGGGCAAATAACTTTCTAATGAAAAAACGTTGAGTTTTTTCAAGCTGTTCAAATTTTTCATAGCCCCAGACTTGTGAGGCGAAGCATAGTATCGAGCGGCAAACTGAGTGGAACAGTTTGAATTTCACTGGAAGGGAAATAAAATTTTGGGAAATTAAGTCGTGCCATGTACAGTTCAGAGCTGTTAGCTTCAGTTACATATGTATATATATTATATATTTATTTAATTTTATAATTTATATTTATACGAAAATTACTAAAGAAAAAAACATCATTTCATCTTTTCGTTTATTAGCGTAAAAGGTGGATTACGTAACAGCGTTACCTCAAGTAAACTTTCAATAAAACAGAATGTCACCACTTTTAAGGAATTTTCTTTCTGAAAACAAAAAAAAAGTTTTCAATCAAATCATGTGTTTCAAATAATTTATTTTAAATTTTACCTTTTGGGCTGAGTTTTCTTTTTTTTAACCGGTCGGTCCACAAACATGTTTTCGGTACCGCTCAAGACTTTTCCAATTTTGAGAGATTCGTTAGACGGATTTCCATAGATGAACCGAGGAGGCACTGAGACAAAACGGCGTAAAAACGGGATTCGAGCGACGAAATCTTCATTCCACAAAATGTCATTTAAAAGCCTACCAATGAAATAACCCACCCAATGTTCGAGCACAGTTCCGACGTACATCAACAGCCTTTCCACGAGGGTAAGATTTTTCACAAAAGAAACCGCCCACACGCCAGTGCAGTAATAAATGATATGAAGCCATATGAAGTATAATAAACAGGGGGCATTTATCACAAGTAGAGATATTACAATTTCGGAAGATTCACCCTTGCAGAAGATCACATCAAACAGTAAAATAATGACGTTCGACGTGTATAATGTATGACGCAGCCATGGCGAATTGTAATCACCCAACAAGGCGACATCGTACCAATGGAATATCCAAAACATCACGCATGTATACAATCCACATGGTATAGCTATCGAGCATCTGAAGAATGATCTCGCCTTCAACCACCCGTTAGGTGCGTCCAAAGTGTACGAACAAATTGCCATAATGTCAACTGTGAGAGCCACAACGAAATATCCCAACTGGATTACTGCGTTCAGCATAGTGACATATTTAAAGGAATAAGCAAATCTCATGTAGAAATCTTGGTCTTCGTGGGTAATATCTTTATACAGTCGACAACATATTCCCGCAGAAAAATTAAGGACACCAACAGTGTGAACAAACGTAGAAACATAAAGATAGATCTGATTGTGTTTTCTTTCGTACTGTACTTCCATGTTTCGGAATCGGTTTGTCACAGTGTCCTGACAAGGAAAAATTATTAAATAAAACATTAAGGCAAATGTAACAGTATTACTTACATACAAGTGCGATTAGTTCCAAAAAGTAAAAAAATCTTTCTAAAACGTTCAGAGCCAAAATTTAATATGAAATTTATAAAAATATTTTCTACCCAATACAACTTTGATATGATGCTTAACACATGATCAAAGTGACAGGTGTCCGGAAGACCCTATTCCGGAAACAAAGGAAATACCGCCAAAGTTTTATTTCCCCCCTTTCTAACTTGTTGAACACAGGAATAATACTTAGTGCTATTATTTAAATTTCTTTTTTTATCCCCAATTAAATTCAAAGCCAGTGAGTTTACTATAAAAGGTGAAGACCATCTGCTTTCTTAATTCGAATGTTAACATATTCTTATGTACTTTAGTTGATAGCGCATGATACATTTTCTTTGTCCTGTTGCTCACTTGCAAGTTCCATGAAAGGGTTTTACTAATAACACCCAAGCGTTTCATCGAATCTACATAGTCAAGTCAGTTTCAAATACCCTTATTCTTCCCAGTGATTTATCATCTAAGTGTGACAAGAAGGCAACCAAAGAAAAGGTAACGAAGGTAAAAATAGAAAAATGATTATAAACACAAAAGATTAGCGGGAAAAAGAGAGAAAGTTTATGTACATTTTTCTAGATGTAAATAATTAAAATAAATACGTAAAACAGACAAAGAAAAAAATAGAAGAGAAGGAGTGAAAGGGCGTGAGAAGGGAGTGGGAGAGAGAGAAGGAATGAGAGGAGGATGAAGGTATAAGGGAGAGTGGGGGAATGAGAGAGAGTGAGAAAGTGAGACAGAGAACTTCGTTTTTTGAGAAAAAAAACCAGAAAATCGAATCTTATCTCAAAAGCAAATCAAACAGATGGCGGTGAACTGGAATAACGCTTGTTGGAATTTTTTTAAGCGACTACAATTTTTATTGTAAATTGAATCTCCTTCAGTTTAATTTAACAAAAGAGAGAGTGATAGAAAGAGAGAAAGATGAGAAAGGGAATAGAGAAAATAGTATGGGGAGAGAGAGAGAGAGAGAGAGAGAGAGAGAGAGAGAGAGAGAGAGAGAGAGAGAGAGANTATAAAACTGTCGAAAGCTCGGCGAAAACCGTAAGGAAGTTTTCTCTGTTTGACCTCTTCCGAAGATCCTCTGAAAAGACTTCATGTTTCCAGCAGGTCGATAATCTAGTTCATCGTAAGTGAAATTGGTTTTGGGGGTTGTTAGAAAGTCACAAATCCCAAAAGAAAAACAATGATTTTGTAAGGGTTTTGAATTGATTCGCTTCCAAATTGTAGACCTTAAGTCATATCAAGTCGTAAAGAAAGAGATCTGTGAAGTCGTAAATAAAACAATTTAGAAAATAACAAAGCTGGTAGACTGTTGTTTGGGTTGAAAGGAGGATAAAACAATATAGCGAACAGGATAGCGTCCCAAGCCCCGCGGGGCTTCGTCGGATCTTACATTAAAAATCTTCAAAGGCCAAGAGGAGAAATGAACACCTCCGGCTATGTTTTTACCATTGTTTTCAATTTAAAGCTCAAAAGAGAAGCCATTGCCGGACGGACAAAACAGAACGGTCCCGGTATAAAAAGGTAACGGCATTTTGCACGTTTCAACAGTCGAATTTTGCCACATTGTCCTCCTCTAATATGAATCCGTCACCTGAACCTGTTAACCTATTAATGCTAATCAACCTGTCCAATCTTGTAGTTACCTAATTTATATTGTAAGTAAAAGACATCGCTTCGACGTAAAGAAGAAACTTTAGAGTTAAACTTAAACCAGCGAGAACAGACGGATCCAATTTTAACTGTGAATCAATTCAACATAACTTTTTTCTACTTTTGAATTAAGCCTGTGTACAATTATTTAACAAGTTTATAAATGAAAGAAATGAAACGTTAAAATTGCGAAAGAACAGATGGTCTAGTTTAACATTTTCGACTAAATGTTGTTAAAGCCTTCGAGTTATGTTAAGTTCATTGTATTTGTCAGAACATATTGTTTTCTATTGATAATACTTTCAGTTTACAATGGATATTTTTCATTCCTATTCACTCAAAAGCACGTGGACTTGGCAGAATTGGCCGAGCTTCAGAAGAGCAGTACTGCCGTTTATATCGAGGGCTGTCTCTACTCTTGCTTGATTTCATTGTCAGCGGTGAGCTTTTTTCTTAAATGGTTACTTCTCAGGCACGCGGGACTTAGCGATTTGCAAAACTGTTTGTATTTCGCTCTTATACTCTCTAGCGTCGTCGTAACGATAAGCCATATGGCTTTATGCGTGTTGATGATCAGGGTTTATCACGTCGACCTGATAGGAATCGGCGAGGCTTTGAACAAAGCTCTGAACACGTACCCGGAAGATCGGAAGCAGCTCGTCGACCGTGTACAGATCAAATATCATTGTTGCGGTGTCAACGATTACCGAGATTGGCTGCAAATCAGTTGGTACGAGAAGACCAAGAACTTGAACAATTCACGCGGCGCTGTGCCCTTCAGCTGCTGCTCCAAATACGACATCGGACCTTGCATCCACGAAGGAATCGGAGAAACGTTCTTCATATCTTATAAGTAAGTAATAAAATATATTTTTTTCTGCATTTATTTCAGTTTTGTGCAATTTTTCAGGTACGAACCGGAAAACCTCGGCCTGTGGAAGCAAGGCTGTTTGTCTCGTTTTGAACGTGTATATCTCAACGGGCTGTATACGCTAGCGATCAAGGGGTTGATCTTCGGCTGTTTTTACCTTCTCGGGGCAGTCTTCGACCGAATCGTCCAATCTGGGGACAGCACTGCTCTCCAGGACGATAGGTTCTACTGCTGGGTCTTTGGAACGAAGCCGGCTTCTAAAAGAAAGCTAGACAATGACGTTACCAACAGAAACATGTACCAATTCGAAGAAGAATCGGATAAGCCCAGTTAAAAAGTAGGGACATCTTAATTTTAATAACATTTTATTTCCAATATAGGCTTCACATATTTCCAAAAAAAATTTTTTATTAAAAGCTAGAATATGTTGTACAGGAAATTGTTTTATTTACAAGACTTATTTACAAAATTGTTCTTATCACAAGTTAGATTACAAAATGCAAGTTTCTTTGATGAAAGGCTTCCTTTCGGCTTTTCCCCTTTTTCTTTTAATGAGTTTTGCAGCGATTGCGAGAAACGGGATGCATGAGTCGAAGGATGGCCTAGAGGCGACGACGAGCCTGGCCAGGGCTGTGAAGGCCAAATTTGGCCCAGAAGCTTCTCCGGCGGCGGTCACCTCCAGGTAAAGACTTCCCTCAGATACTGCCGCCTCCAAACCGCACTTCGTACTAACGGACCTGGAAAATAAGAAAACTCAACCCCTAATTAATTAGGTCCAAGAAAAAGCAGTCACACTGGCCAGAGGAGTATCTGGAGGGCCGTAACAAACACAGAATCCTCCATCTCAGAATAAGTTCACAAAAAACAAAGTGGTCGAACTCGAAAGGTGCCAGATACAGTAAGCTTATGATTTAAGAACCCTCAACAAAGCTGACAAACATATTGCTACAGCTTTGAGGGAGTACACATCATGGCGTTAGGGCTTTATACCTGTCAATGACTTTTGAGAAAACAGCTATACAAATGGGTTTATTCGTTGATAAAATCTGGCTAAAAGCCTAAATGAGGATCGGCAAGAACATATAAATGCCCAAACCCTATACCTAGGATAAGAAGATATCATAACATTAAGATAACATTAAGGTCAAACCTAAAATCCTCCATCTCAGAAATGATCCTCGAAAAAGGAGAAGTGGGCGAACTTCAGAAGAGCCAGATAGACCAAAGCTGACAAACACATTGTTAAAGCAACAGGGTAAAAATCAGGGGAGTTAGGGTACCAGTCATTAACATCTGTTAAAACCCGTACCCAATGTGTATATTTATTGATGTCGGCTAGACAAATGAAGACTTGCAAGAGTATACATAGGTCACCGGGGTCTCTTGGGACATATCCCTCCAACAATTGCATACCGAAAATGATAATTTCTCACCTGGCGTGGCGTAAGTCGGACTTGTTAGCAAGTAGGATGATCGGCCGCCACGGTCGGTGACCCGCGAGTGTTCTGATGATGGTGACCGCTTCTAGAAGAGTTAGTATGTCCGTCAGGCTGAAAACGACCAAGAACCCCTGTCCCCAAGAGGCGAGCTCGCCTATCCTCTCGAAACCCTGTAGTGACAATGAAATATGTTACCTTAAAATATGGCATATCGTGGCATGATTAAGGTTAAGGTTAAAAGTAGTTGGCCTTTTTACGAACTGACTGCCGCCCTGGAACCTACCACTATTACATATCTTTATCCAGAGAGAGGCCAGAGCCACATTTCATAGGCTCATGCAGAGTAGGCTACTAATATAAAAAGGAGCCACTTAGGAGGGGGAGGAGCTTCAAGTAAACAGAATTGTACGGATGCCTGTAGTCTGGTACCTGGTAGAGCAGACTGAGAGAAAACCATAAACTAGTGTGCATATAAGCCTTGGGCAATAGCCATAGCATTCACGCGTAGAATGTAATTATCAAACCCTGTGTCAGAGAAATCTAAATGTTGGGTATTACCAGAAAAATAATAACCATCTACTCTGACAGTCAGGAGGCACTAAAGGCATCAGAAGCAAAGACCGGTGACGTATGGGATTGCATTAGAGCTCTGGCTGATATGGGGGGGGGGAGGAATTATCATTATTTTGGTACCAGGGCACACAGAGCAGAAGGAACAATGAAAAGGCCCATAAATTGGCCAAGAAATGTACGATGGGACACCTATTGGCCCTGAATCATTTTCTGGCATACCAAACTGACAAAAACTTGCATCCATAAGGCAAAAGATAAAAAATAAGTCCTCCGTTCAATGAGAGTATAGCCCATGACAGGTGAAAATAAAAATTCATCAAAGGACCATCGCAGAAACTAAGAACAGAACTAATAAATCTAGGTAGTGTTAAGACTAAAATAACAGACGGACTGCTGACTGGACACTCCATATGTAAAATGTATGGACTTGAAGAAACAAGCCTGTATATATATTGCCAGGAACAGTGGAACATGTCCTCTATTGCTTATGTACACTGAGATTCTACTCCTGGGAAAAGTAAAGCCCGGTCCTGAATGATACTCATGGGAATCCTTTAAGTTGTTTTCGGATCTAGTAAATAACCTTAAGCTCAATGAGAAACTCTAGACAAAAATGGAGATGATCAATTGACTATGCTCTTACTATAATCTAATCTAATCTTTATGACCTTACACTCTGTGACCAATACAGGTTTATTGTGTAACCTCCAATCTTATGTTTAAGAGCTCTTCATCAAACTTAAGGCTTTTATCAGAACCCAAGCTTCGTTAAAGACTCCTGTGTTTATTTTTCGTAAAATAGAGTCATTCTCTGCTGGGTTCTAGGACATGCAGGAATAGAGAGAAAGAAAAACGTGGATGACTTTGCTAGAAAATAGGCACACTGGTGCAGATGCCTATCTCTAGTATTACCAGGAACTTTCTTAAAGTCGCAAGAACATATAATTGCAAGGGTAAATACCTAAAACTCAGAACCCATGAGCAAGTGCACCAGCATCTTCCAAACTGTAGTCCTTGCAATTTAAAGAAGTAACAAAGAAAAAGTCTATATCTTTAACATGTCGAATAGCCAAGCAGAAACAATATCATATTGTTTAGATATTGAACTCAAACATCAACAACTCCAAATTGATTTTGAATTGCGCACAATTATATCAGTTGGACAATGGCAGAGATGGCAAAGCCGAAGTATATGTTAGAACAAAAGTCATGAAAGACATAATAGACCGGAAGTGACTAAACTACATTATGATTATTAACACGGTTAATTTTTTAATTTTTTTTTATTAAACATATTGTTGTTATTTTCAAAGTACAAATATTTGTTTTAAGTACATATTTTTCTATTTCGTAAAAGATTATCCATCAATCGACGTCGAGTTAGCGGCCCGAGGAAGGCAGAGTTCCAGGAAGGCTTTTGTCGCCAGAACACAGAAGATGGCAAAATAACAAGGGGGGCCGAATTTTTCATTAGCGACCGTCACCAAACCGGACGTCAATTATCAAACAAAGGCTAAAGAGGTGATTGCACTTTTATCCAGTCTTCTTCGACTTTTCTACCCGCGTTCCCTGTAGAAAAGAAGAGGAGAGAAAGATGATAACCGTGATCTAAGTTCCTTCAGGATTCATAATAAGAATGCCCAAGTTCATCAAGGATCGGATGCATAGACCGTCTGATAATGAATAATCGTAAAAGTGCGGCACGCTCCATAAAGATGTTCTATCCCTCAAATTACTGATTAAAAACTTATTGGAAGAAATTAAATTATCTGATATAGTAGGTGAAGTGGATTTTGACACTAAATAATACGATAATGTACTTACCAGGCATCTGCAGGTATCTAGAATTTCTAGGTGGGCGGTTTTCCCATCTATTCTGATCATGCTTTTGTAAATCTGGTCTGAAATCAATAAAAAAATTAAAAGAGAGAGAGGGAGATTGTGAGAAATAGCGTGACATAGAGAAAGAGAGGAAGAAAAAGAAGGAGAGGGAGGAGATAGAGTGAGATAGATAGAGAGCGAGAGAATGGAATAGAGAGCGAGAGAATGAGGAGAAAGGGAGGGAGAGAGAGAGAGAGAGAAAAATAGAGTGAAAGAGAGGGGGAGATGGGAATAAAGAAAGGTAAGATAGAGGGGCTAAGGGAGAGGGAGAAAGATGGGTTGAGGGTGAGGGATAAAGGAGAGAGAGAGAGGAAGAGGGAAAGGGAGAGAGTGAGAAAGAGGGCATAAAGAGAGAGAGAGAGATAGAGAGAGAGTGAGAGAGAGAGAGTGAGTGAGAGAGAGAGTGAGAGAGAGAGAGTGAGAGAGTGAGAGAGAGGGAGAAAGACATACACACAGGCATAGAGAACGAGTGAGAGAGTATGAGAGAGAAGGAAAAAATAGAAAGAATGGGTGAGAAGGAGATAGAAGGAAAGGGATATAGGAAGAGAGAGAGAGGGAGAGGGTAGGTTAAGAGGGAGGGAGGGAATGATAGAAAGGGGAGGGAGCGGAATAAATAGACGGAGAGGGACAGGGACAGTGGCTATATATATATATATATATGAGATGATATATATATCATGAGATGATATATATATATATATATGAGATGATATATATATCATGAGATGATATATATATATATATATGAGATGATATATATATCATGAGATGATTATGAGAGAGAGAGAGAGAGAGAGAGAGAGACATGCATAGAAAAAATGATTGAATATGTGAGTCTCGTCAACAAACGAAATTTTCCTCATTGAAAATTTGCCAAATTCAGTTTGGCTATGGATGAAAAGCTTAAAAAAAAGAAAGAATAAAGAAGTTGATCCAACGACCCCGACGGACCCATAAACGAATATATAACACAATGTTCGAACACTATGGTATTGTTGGAGAGTGTAGAATTTTTTTAGAAACGGTGTTTACGCGGTACTGAAAATCACCAAAAATAACATAAATTTCGCAGAATTAATATCGGGTATAGGAATTTTTAATGGCTGAAGCCTATCGTTACGAAGATTGGAGGGGTCTCGACGTACTAGGGCGCCGTAATGAAGAAAGCTCTGCCCGCAGTGAAAGCCCTATTGTTGAGCAGCCGAGTTGAATCGTTTATTCATATTGTACAATGGGATAAGGAGCTGTTCCGCCTCTTACCACTTTTATATTATACGTAATATGTAACAGAAGATTCGGGCAAAAAGGTCGGGAAGAGAAAGGTGCCGATCACGGCATTGATAATATTGTTTGTTCGGAGATATGTTTTACTTTCAAATCTGCAAGTCCGATCATTCTTTTGTTCAAGACAAATGCGATTCAAGGTATGTTAGTATCCCAATTCTGATCATAAACCGTTTAATATGTTGCAAAATTACCTTTCCGTGAGCTGTATTCACCTATGAATCTCTGAGTCAAAAATCGGACGGTGATGGCTGGAACAAAAGAAAACGTTTAAATGGGATAAACTGCACAATTCAAATTTCTATGCTTTAGAAGGTAGTACTACTAAACACCCTAAGCTTTGTAAAAATATCACGATTTTTAATCCGTCCAAACACTCGAATACTTGTTTCTGAGATCAAATACCGCCTTTTACCTCCTTGCGTTCTGGATCCATCTGCTTACCACGCTGGTTTACCTCAAGGGTATTTCTTGAGTCAATACACTTCTCAGTATACGTAAATGCCATTTCTTCGCTAAAAATTTGTATTTTGTTTTAAAAAGAATCATATTTAGAGTTATAGTATGCCATACTTTCCTTGGTGTGACACTGGACCAAAAACAAATGAATTTGTCAAGACCCTAGTAAAGAAAACTATATAACTTTAACTTAACTTAAAATTATTAAAAAAATTCATCATCGTTGGTTTAAATTCAAACATGTCATTTCGTGGATCCACGAGTATCGGATATCCTCCTCTTAGGCGATAGTCAGAGGCTATATATGAGACATGATGGCCGAATAACTGCTCCTTTTTTGACTTCTAAGATCTATTGATCAAAAATGGTTTCAAGACATTTTTGTCATATATGTTAATAAATACGTGGCTGAACGTCGAAAAGCCCAAACGTTTTATCTCTGGAAATCCAGGATTGAGACAAATGGAGGAAGGAAAAACGTGTTGACCCTAATATGACGAAAATCATGTAATCGCTATTTTAAGAAGATTTCTCCTCTTTAAAACATAATTAAGCAGCTTGGGCAAGATGTCGCTCAACTTTGAAAATCCAATAGGCATAATGAAAAAGCCTCCTCATTAAAACCATCATAGAAGGTTGTACACATAGATTTAAGGATTTGAGAACGAACTTTGGGTGAACCGTGAGTGGCCGAGTCGAAGCCGGGTTAGAAGGGTTTCTTCTTTTCCCACGTTTTGGAAGATAATTCGAATTTTACAAATTTTTTATTGCAAAGAGTGTTTCTGTATAGGCAATTTACGCCTCCACGCTTTCCAGAAAAGCAGTCAAAAATACAGCAGAGATCAGTTGGGAGACAAGGTGTTTATACTTCGATATTTTGGCCTCGATATTGTTTTTAATTTAAAAAAAGAGCTTGGGTTTCGGGATTTAGGGTGTTCTGTAGTGTGGCGAGTTCAGGGTGAGTGACTTAAATGATGTTAATGGCCTTGTGTAGAGCCTCGAGTTCATGGATGAAACCAAAACATTTCATGTAAAAGCTTTGGTATAATTGTTGAATGTTGACTGAAGATTATAGGCTGAACAATTTTAACTGGTAAAATTTCCAAAATTATTCTAATTTTTTTAAATAAGTGAAGTTTTCATCTGTTCTAAAGCGAAAAACGTTTCTTCATTCCTCGAAACTTTTAAACCAAGCAAGACGCTCTCCTGTCGTTGTTCACGAATCCAGGAATTATCTGTTTATATTTAACTATGCTGTTCTTTTGAATTGTCTACATTAAGTAATACAATTCCACATTACCAAAGCAACTGGTTCAAATCATCAGATAGCATTTACAACATTTTCTTGAGCTTGTAATGTAGTTAGTTATAAGGAGTCGATCGAGGTATGAATTAATAGGATCTGCTGTTGTCTGTTGGTAACGAGTATATAAATAGATACCACCTGTATATAAATATAATCTGTTTTTTTGAACTCTTGTACTATTTTGAAGCAAGGTTCAACAATAAAAGAAAAAGATTTGGTATTCATGAACCATGTCAGAGTTTGACGGGTCAGGATTCCTCCCGTCGTCCGAATCCTGTGAGACTTAAATCCTTTAATCTTACGTACCGGACCTCAACATTTCATCAAACCGCATTCCGACTACAGCCTATAGCTAATTTATTATAGTTGTTTAAACAGTTGCGTTGTTAATTTTTTTCGTTTTAGTGTTAAGTTATTCCGGGTTGTATAATAAGTTAATAAGTAGTAGGTTCCAAAGAAAAATTTGGTTCCTTGCATTTTCACCCAAATATAAAATGTACTTGGAATAAAGATAAATCCATTACAAATGAAAAATCATAGGATAGTAAGGCCGGATCGGAAGTGTAGATAGGAGGCCTTCGTAGGACTCGGACTCGTAGAACAAACGTAACCCTCACACAATTAAGAATAGGCCATGCGAGGTTAACACATAGACGTTTACTTTTTGGCTTAAGCCCGCGTCTGTGTCATGCCTGCAGGTTGTTCGATGTGTCCCACCTAATTGAGTGGTGCGGTTCCTTGGCTCCATATAAAGAGCCGTAGGAATGCCACTCGAAGTTAAAATTTGGCTTAACCAAGTCAGCAAAGATCTGGGTCCCGTGTTCCGATTCTTGGAGAAAACAGTGTTATTGTATTGATTATTACTATATANTAAATATATTAGGTCTGGATATGGAGTACTCCAATCGACACATCTAGCAATTAAAAGAATCCGACTTTTTTTGTGGAAACAGAGTTGTTTTATTGTATATAGTAATAATAGTTTTATGTCCCTAGTGTGCGATGAGAGTGAATGTATTTATTGGCGTGAATGTGTGGCGTGAAAATGCCGATAGCGGAATATTGATTACTCCAACCACCCTGAATTAGATTAGTTATTTATTGGGTGTACAGAGGAATATCGAGTACTCCACGGCATAATTGAGTGAATAATAGTAAATAGAAAAGAATGGATTTAAGGAAAATTGAGAGTGGATGGGTTCGGATCTAGGAAGTGCATGTGTTGGGTGCTGAATTGACTTAGTTGTTGAAAGCACAAGAACCACTACCTCGGCGGCTGGACGGATAAGACCTAGGTCTGTCCCCGGACTGCCAACACCACACTTGGCGATAATTTTTAGTAAATTACAAAGAATTGCACTTAAATTACCAGTCAAGTTTGAGATCTGATAGGTTCGGTACAAGTGTGTATATATGTACATCCATGTTCAAATTTTAGTTTTTATAAATCCAAATTTATAGGACAGTAAAAGGATATACTCAAGGAGGTGTACTTTTATCACTTTTGGTCATGACCTGATGACTTTACCACAGGATCAAATAAGTAGAAAGATGGTGTGAGGCTATGGGTCGCATGGAAATAAAAGACATATAGACAAAACAACACAAAAAGCAAAGACCATAACAATTGGGCGTCATTATTTAGAAAAATATGGTGTATAAATCCAAAAAGAGTCCATTAGCGTTAGAAAGAATCAGAGTAAGCAGTGAGAGTTTGAATCCTAACAGGTTTAACTACAAATCCTCCAGTATTTGAGAAAGATCTGTGTCAGTTGATTGATTGCAAGGAAGCACAAAAGGCCATAACACTCCCACAAAGTTCCGGAATTTAGTTCCAAAGTTCTTCCAAACTTTTATTCGCTTTTTTATGGGAAAAACTGAAAGTACTATTACTGCGAACCCTCGACCAAAGTTTTTCAATTTTTAGACTATGCTAACGTGCATTAAGATCATCCCTTATCTTTTGTTCATATGAATGGCATATTGCGGTAAAGTGTATGTAAGATTAACACAGTACTGTCTCGTTAAGGATCTGAAAAACGAGTGTGTCGAACGTGAAGCGAGGTCGGGGCTGTTTACAAATTGTACATTGAAAACAAATTTTCCTTTCGCCACTGTCCTACAACAATAATGGACAAGAGAGTCGCGTTGCCGGTGAGGTAACGGCTTTCTTTCGCAACGGACAGCTTTGATATCTAAGGTGACACTGGCAAAATTATCTCAACGTAAAGCAAAATAGCTCATTAAATTTTAATCCTCGGATGTACTGAAAAAAAACAGTTGAATAAATAAAAAACAATTTTAATTTAAGCAGCAGAAAAGTTTATCGTATTATGGGCCACTGGGCGTTACCCACTTCATAAAATGAAATATCCAACCCTTATTTTAATCAAAAAAGGATTCATCCTGAAAGAAATCCCTTAGTCAAAAGCACAGCAATCCAAACCGACCGAAGGTAATGTTGAAATTGCTAAAATTTTATGTAATATGCGATGTCTGTGACGACAAAGTTTCAAATGAAGTACTCCTTAAGTTTTCAATCCATAGTAAATGTTAAACCCCCCCCCCCACTGACCCCCCTTTTATTGACTGGCAAATTTTTGGGTGAATGTTTTATCACAATATATTGATTAACTAAATAAATAAAATTTGTCAAGTACTTGCAAGTTGTCAAATCTGTCCCATTTGATTATTTAATGTTGTGAATGCTGTTATTTTATATACTCTAGGTCTAACCGTTAAAAATATATAAAAAAGTAAAATTGATCGAAACCAGCTAAGTTTTAAAAATAATGAGCAGATGTATTAATTATACAGGGTGTGACGTGCTCCCTTGAGACGCTAACTTTATTTGGATTTGGATTTATACAGGCTCAAATTCGCACATGTACGTACATACATACACACATGTGCCAAGTTTAGCGTATTCGCTTAGGATCATTTTTTTCATGTTTAATGCTTACATCCAAAAACATGGTTTTTCCTTCTTTTTTGAAAATATGTCAAGAATTATTAGCTTTTGTCCAAACAGTGATGAAGTAAAATGTATAGGGAATTAAATTTCCATTAAAATTAATATAATTAAAATCTTCTAGCCTTCAGAAATGGTGATATAAGTCATAAACCATTTGTTATTAAAAATATTTTTTGTAAATATACAAATGTTTTCATATTGGGTTCAAATTGGCATAAAAGAAATTCTTTTCTCTCGGTGTAATGATTAGAAAATATCATTTTAAAAAATAGTTCCTAAAGTAAAATTAATCTCAACCAGCTACGTTTTATGAAAACGAAGTAGTTGTGTAAATTAGAGTTTTGGGAATATTCCCTTGATTTTTTAATTTTTTTTTATATGAAATGCCTCAAAGTTTTTACACATTCAAAAAAGAGATTTTATTTAATAAAAATTGGAATTCGTTTGGCTGAAATTGATCAGGAATTCATGAAGATCTCCCAGTGTGAAAGATTGTCGAAAGCAAAAAGCAAAAACATTTCTGGTCAATTTTAGATGATTTATTATTAATTACCTTTTTTATTTTATTAATGCTTCAAGTGGGATTCAAATTAGCATAAAACGATGATTTCTATACATGGGGTCCCGTGGTGTGATGTTTCCCACAAGTTTAATGTTTATATTCAAAACCATAGTTATGGTTTTTTCAATATTTTGGAAAATGTCAGGAACTAGCTTTTGTCAAAACAGTGAGGAAGAAAAATGTGTAAGGAATTAAATTCCCTTTAAATTAACGTACCCAAATCTTCTAGACTTCATAAATACTGAGATATACAGTCATAAACCACCAATTTGTCATTAAAAATGAAGTTTTTGAAAATTACAAAATCTTGTACAAAATGGTTCAAAAAGTAAAATTAATCTAAACGAGCTATGATTTACGAAAATTGAGTAATTGTGGGCTTGCTCCCTCGATTTTTATTATTTGTTATATAAAACGCCTCAAAGTTTTTACAAACACAAAAAATCGATTTTATTTAAAATTGTGATTTGTTTGTTTGAATTGGTCAGAAACTGTTGGAGATGTCCTAGAGTGAAAGATTGTCGAAAACGAAAAATCAACATTTTTGGTCAAACTTTAGGTATTTTTATTTATTATTAATTACTTATTCGTTTTTTATTAATGTTTTCATGTTGGAATAAAATTGGCATAAAATGAAATAAAAAGCCCAGGAGGGGATCCCATGTAATGGATTGTTTTCTTAGGGTTTAATGCTTTCGTCCAAAAACATGGTTTTTCATACATTTTAGGAAACAAGTCAGGAAATATTATTTTTCGTATAAAAATTAACGAAGGAAAATATATAAGAATTGAATTTCCTATAAAAAAACTCATTAAAAACCTTCTAGACATCGTAAATGCAGAGATAAACAGTCACAAACCACCAATTTGTCATTTGATGGTTTTTTTACGCTTCTATAGCTTTAGGTATAAAAATAAATTGTTACTAACAAATCAAATGATAAATAGAATTAAAAACATGAACAAATTCACTATTTTTTATTATTAAACAAAACTTTTGCAACCTATTCTAACGACTGACCAAACGGATCTTCCTATATTGCCCACTCGTGAATCCAAAAAACAAAAACAACTGGCAAAATCTTTCCCTCTTCGTACTAACGGTTTCATTTTAACCGAAATTTAATTCTCTACAACTTTTTCTTAGTTAGGTTTTTTTAAGAAAGTCAATTTTTTAGATATTTTAATTTAACAAGAAACCAGGTTTTTTGGATGAAGAAATTAAGCGACGCGTGTTTGAACCTTTCTTTAGGGTATGTTTGTGATAACCAAGTCAATTTTTGTAAGACACAGTTTGTTTGGAACCTGTATAAGTATGGTGGATACATAGCTGCCAACTGCTTAGTTAACAGATTAATGCCATTAGGCAATTTATGTTACACCAAAACATGCTTTTTAACATGTCAAAAGATTTTTTGGTTCACTTATATATTTAGACTATACAATTTAACGTATTCTTCTTTATTAAATTTCTCCTTACCGGTTTTTCCGACCCGGCTGGAGCCGAGTACGACGAATCGAAGCCTCTGAGGCATGGTGACTGTGAAGTCTCATAGCACTCACTGGCACGGGTCGCTTCCCTTTTCTTCCTGGCTCTTTCACGTCTCCCACCAGGAGCGATTCGCGTGCAGAGATAGATCGCCTCCCCGGGCCAGGATTATCCCCGGGGGATCTAGAGAAGAAAAGCCGGTAACGGTAGACGTTTTGCCTTTTTCGTCCTTTCCCCAGGCTGGGATTACTGTTATAATTAAGTCTAATAGACAAGAGTCGACCCCCTCCTACAACCATAATCTTTCTCTAGGTGTAAATAATGGAACGTGACCTCTCAAAACTACATAATTACAATAGAAGCGTAGGGGCAATCAAATCATAAGAGGGAAAACCAGAGGTAAAAATAAGACCGGAAATGAATAAAAAAACAACTGGTTCAGGCAATTATAAATTCTAGGCATCCAGAAATGGAGCACAATATATTAAATAATTTAACAACAACGAAACCTAAAGCTATGTATAAAATATATAAAAAGTTTAGATATTGAGAATTAAGAGGAAAAGTAGAAAAAGGTTCTCTGGGGCCGGTGTAGAAGCCTATAATTTTTCTCAAATCCTTCCTCTGCTGACATAGAGGAGCTCCTTCGCCTTCCTTTTTGATCTTAGCTTGCCTCATGCTTTTGTTCAGTGTTTCAGTTTTTCTTTTGCAAGCCACTTTTCCGGTGGCTTCTGGTCTCATTGGAAAGAGGGTTGCCTCTTCTTTTTGGCTAGTTGGGCAGCCCGTTCGTTTCCTACTATGCCTTCGTGTCCTGGAACCCAATTGAAGGTAATCTTTTTATTTTCCCAGGTCATTAAGTAATTTAGGAACTCCTAGGCAAGTTAGAAGTTGAAAGCATACGCATATAGTGCGTTTATACCTGCTTGAATGTCGGAAAGTATGTAAATTTGTCCACCTTTCATAATTATTTTTATTAACTCCTGTGCATAATGTTTTGAACCTCAGCGTGGTAAATCATTGGTATTAGTCCAAGGGGCTTTACTATGGTACGGTTCGTCCCTTTTATCCCTTACACTACTCCCTGTGCCATCCTAGATCCATCTGTGAACCATATAGTTGTAAATTTAGTCTGGATGTGAGTTCTTGGCATTTTTTCAGAACTCCAGTAATTTTGTCGTATAATATGAATATTCATTTGAAGATTGGGATACTCGGCCAGGTAGACATGGAATAAAAGAAAAGAAAAACTACGTTTTTAAGTATGCCGATATTTCGTCAAATTTATTCTCAAGGCGGGTACTAATTGAGCTTTTCAATCAAGCTTAAAGATTTAAGTTTGAAGGTTGAAACCTTTTTAGACATAACTCTGCCTTATTTCCTTTGAACAGACAATTAATCACACTGGGATACAGATTCAACCAAGGGCCGGCGGACAATTTTTCCCGTGATATTTCTATACCTTCATCATTTAATGCACATTTTTGGCTTAACATTGTATGATGAACATGATGCAAAGCGAAACTATGGTTAAACAATATGATAAAACAACAAAGATGAACCTTCTACTTGTGCTTCGTTCGTGCGTAATTGAACTTGATCAACAACTATTAAGAATTTAAAACCTTTTGTTTTACTGAGAGAATCGTAAATTTATTATTGAATTTTTTCTATTAATATGTGTCTCCCCTTTTATCAGAAATGTTTGTCGAAATTTCACCTGTTTCTTAGATCGATATTATTTTGTCGACAAACAAGGGATAAACGGTTTTAACTTAATATTTATTATGTCCTTTCAGTAAGATCAAAGAGAGCTTAAACGGCAGAAGTCCTGCAGAAGGGCGGAACGTGTTACACAATGATCTTGTACTTTCTCGTAAGCTCGTTCATATATTTCATGGGTGAGGCGGAAAATTTTTCTCCAGATTTTATTCCGGAGAACATCACCGGAGGAAACATCAACGATCAGATGGGATCTCTAGCAGAGCAGGTAATATGCTAAAAAGGCCGTAAAAGCAATTTACACAAACAGAATAATTAATAATTAGACAGATTTAATTAATTAAAGAAATACTAAACTTACACTTTGTAAGGATCGGATCACTAATTTCGAGCACCAAATTTTTCTTACCCACGATTCCATGGGTAAAATTTGGCGTGTTTTTAGAATTTTGGTGTGGACCAATCGTAAATGTTGATTGTCTGAATTAGGTTGTTAGCTGACGATCGTTTTTTTTTCAGAGCTCCTTCACCTCAGTAAGTGAGTTAATTCTTTTGCTCAGGTCCCAACACTGGCCTTAGTCAATGGCCTTGCTTTGTACCATATCAATAATTTGATTTCAGTATTTTCCAGGAGTGATGGTTTTACTTTATTACATGGGATGAATCATGCGAAACACTAGAAGTCACTAGACAGTGTCTATTATTTTTTTTTCGGGTTCTCTGGTTTGTCGGTTTATCATTCTCTTGTACGTTGCCTATTGTCAACCTGTCGGAGAACCTTTAGACGATTTTGTTTTCTTCAATCGAGCTATAGGATCTTAAAAGTTCTAGAGAAGTTTATAGTGAAGGACTTTCGCCCCTACACAGAAACTGCTCTACTCTGCCTACTAGGCGCGTGAGCACCTAGCTGCTCCACTCCGAGAACGACGCACCTGGGACGGAATCATTGCCCTGATTTCAGAGTTGAGCTAGGCTCTGTTCTTACTGTGTTCTTCACTGGGTGCCTTTTTTTGCTCGAACTCCAGCGAGAAGTCGCAAGGGTAACGAGAGTGTCGCCCGTACTTCAGTTCGAAGTTATCCATCCACCGGTCGGTATGCACCATAATTGGACGTAGTGGGCAGTTATGTATTATCGGGACGCTTACTAATTTGTCTCTGAAGAAGTCAGTACCAAATAAGGGTCCCTGGGCATTCAATAATAAGGAAGTAAGTAGACTGTTGGTCCAGAAAGGAGCCAATATGAATTCTGAGGCCCCTAGCACCTTGCCACAAAAGAGGACACATCCAAAACTGGATCCTTAATGAGTCCATAACCTGGTGGACAATACCCCATTGCGGTCTGAATAAGGCACACAGCAATTAATCCATACATATATTTAGTAGTCATAATTATTAATTAGTATTAATTATTTTAATTAATTATTCTTTTAATCTCGGTTCAGTTGAAAAAGCGAAAAAAGTCTCGAGCGGAATTCGGACCTATCCCAAATATAATTAATTAAAATAATTAATACGGACAATTAAGACTGCTAAGCTCCCCGTGGCCAATTCATAAGTCGCCGAGAATCGAATCCTTATTAAACAATATTTTGAAAATTTGGCAAAAAGAGGGAAAATTCGAAAGGTTAAGGTGGGGAGGTGGTGGTACGAGTGGACAGAAGTCAGGCTAGCTCAAGTGGTTAGAGCAGCGGCGTATTTTGCCGAAGGTCATGGGTTCCAATCCCGCTAGTGACACTAGCTTTTTCATCTCACCAAGATCTTGCATTAAACGTACAAGTAATTAAAATACTTGTCAATTATGAAGTGCATTAGCCTTAGAAAATTTAACGCTGTTTCCAAAAATGTGGTCTATCTGTAAAAAAACGCGTACAAATAGAGAAAATTGGGCTTATTATTACAAAATAAATTATGTTATAATTAATACATATTTTAAATAAATTATTATAAAAAAGTGGTTTTCTCGAGAGAAAAAAAATCTTTAAAAACGGCATCTAGGAAAGTGTTCGGATAGAAATGTCTGACACGTTGGCGGCATTTAACTAACTATATTTTTGATCTAGTTTGACCGCCTTGAGTATTGTCATCTTCTTGCAACACACCCTGTATAGTTAGCTTTAATACGAGGGATATCATGTGAGATCGAATGTTTTTATTAGCATGGCTATAGTGTCAAAGGGCAGTCTCGCTGTGTATGTATACTTTGGTGAGCTGGGAGTTTGAACAGCGAAATATTTGCAGTGAGAAGTCTAATTACAATAATAATAATTATCGAAGTTTTGGACATGATACACTGGAAATATTAGTATCTATTGGGTTGGTACGCAAAGATTACTTTTATATATTTTTAACTGTTATCTTTTAAACAAAACGTTTTAGTTTATATTAAATTTTATAAGAATGAGGACCAGTGAAATTAAATATGTCTAAACTAGATATTCGTCTAATTTATTTGTGCGAATTTAAACTTGGGCGAAGTGCGACCGATGAACTAACCGAAGCCCAAAGAAATCGACGCTTGGAAGTTTGCACGTCTCTTCTGTTGCGCCTCCAAAATGATCCACTTCGCGATCGAATCATCACGTGCGATGAGAAACAAATTCTGTACGATAACAGGAGGCGTACAGGTCGGTGGTTGACAAGGATGAAGCGACAAAACTCTTCCCGAAATCAAATCTGCTCCCAAAAAAACATTATGGAGATGTTGAAACAGTATTGGTTGTGTACTGCTGAGGTTGTTCACAATAATTTATTTAATTACGGGGAAACTATCACATCAATATTGCTAAGAAATTGACAAAATGCACGGGAAACTGCAACGTCTTTGTCCAGCATTGGTAAACCGTAAGGGGCCGATTCTTCTTCAAGATATCGCCAGACCACTTTTCGCAATGCCAACCCTGCAGGAACTTAAAACTTAGGTTATGAAACCATACCGCACCCTCCATATTCACTCGACCAATCGCCTATAGACTTCCACTTTTTAAGTATTTTGATCGCTTCTTGATAGATAAAATTTTAGAGAACCCGGTGAAGCGGGAAACGCCTTCCAGGGCTTCACTGAGAGTCGCAATAAAGATTTTTATGTCAGCGGAATAAAAGCGCTTATCACACGTTGGCAAAGACGTATAGATTGTGATGGAAAATATTTCGAATATATTTTCTTTATTTTATAAAAAATAAAAAATAGTTTCGACTGCCTTTTCAAAATCTGCATTATTTTTTTACCAACCGATTAAAATTGGATAAATCGTGTACTTTGTCGAATTATAAGGTCTGGGAAAAATCCTTCAGCGACCAGTAAAGACAAAATTCAAAATTATGTGGCAATGGGCTCGCTATTCAATAATTCACTTAATTATTTTGATCAGGTCGAGAGCCTCAACACTACCCTTAGTCAATGGCCTTTCTTTTGGACCATATCTTTAATTTGATTTCAGTATTTTCCAGCAGTGATGGTTTCATATTACTACATGGAATGAATCATGCGGAACACTTGAAGTCACTAGTGTCTATTATTTTTATCGGGTTCAAGCTGACCTCGGAAAGTGCTCTCTGGTTTGTCGGTTTACCATTCTCTTCTACGTTACCTGTTGTCAAACTGCCAGAGAACAATATCTGCATTATTTTTGCGCCAACCCAATATTAATAAAATTATAAATAAAATAAATAAATAAAATAATAAATTAATAAAAATTAATTAATAAAATAATAAATAAAATTAATTAATAAAATAATAAATAAAATTAATTAATACAACTGAATTTATCTTGTACTTTGCCCAATTTTAGGTCTGGGAAAAATCCTTCAGCGACCGGCCATGTGTGGTTTTGTGGTCGGAAAGCGGAATGTTGGAAAATTTCAATCCGAAATCGCAGCCTTCTATTATCAGAATATCATCTCTTCCTGGAGAAAGCTGTGACACTTCCTCTTTAAATCCGTTAAGAGCAGCATTCGAGCATAATTGTAACATGTAAGTAACAGGCAGGAAGAATGTTTTAGATAAAAGGTTCTAGATTTATAAAAAAACTAACTTAATGTTCAGATACATAGTGCAAATTTCTAAGCCTAGTTGTTTCTTCGAATTGTGGGACTATGCGAGAGATAATATTGTCCCTAGGCACAACCCAAAGTTGTTTTTCTTGCCAGTTTACCCCAACAGCATAGACTACGGTGAAAGTCTTTTGGCATTACCCATTACAGAAATCTCAGCGAACATACTCGTCGCGGAGCTTGAAATATAAGGTTAGAGAGTGACAGTCAAAAATTAATTTTGTTTTTAAACTGATAATTTAAAATCATTCAGATAATCGGCAGGTGAAACTATCGACCAATAACTTCGCAGTGCGAGTCGGGACGCCGAATAGGACCGGAAGGATACCTCTCGACGAATGGAGTCCACATCTAGGTTTCAAGAACAACGTCAATCTCTACCCAAACAAAATGAAGGATTTGAAAGGAAAAGGTAGTTCAATGTAGAATCTATATAGTATATTTGTTTTGAAGGAACCTTTTCATTTCTGTTTAAGAAGTAAGATTCACTGCTTTGCAGTATTTGCCACACGTCAACCTCGAACCTTTTGATGGCGATGAAGCCAGGATATTTATAGAATGTTGCGAAAGGCATAATTGCACAATAAAGGTTTACGACGACGATGGACACCAGTGGGGCAACTTTTCAGGATACAAGCAAGGAAATGGTACATCATGTAAATTTTGGTATCCGTTTTTCTAAAGATAACTGTGTGTTAAGATAATTTATGGCCTGCCGAGGTATTTCATTAGAACAATAATTTCTTCTAGGAATTGTCGGAAGAATTTATAAAGGTGAAGCTGACGTTGGAGGAGGATCATTTACAACATTGATAGATTACTATCCTCATATTGACTATTCCAAAACCTACATGCTTTCCGGTATCACTGTACTTGTACCGAAGGCTGTTCAGCTGAGTGCCTGGAGGACTCCGTTTCTCCCGTTCGGTCTCGTGATGTGGATCGTCTTTTTCTGCTGCGTGATCTCTTCTTCTTTAGGACTTTACGCTGTTACGGCACTCGCCGTCAAATATACACGTAATGAATTAAACATTGTCAGCTACAAGTTGAAAAATCTATTGTACATATAGGTTTTGGCAATAATATTAAGAAGAAAGGGGTATTCACCTCATTGACCGATTCGATGATTAGATCCTTCGGTATGTCAGTGTTACAACAGCCGGCGTACCAGTTTGTCAATTCGCCTGTCAGACACCTCTTCACTTCTTTTGAATTTCTCTATCTAATCCTGACTGCTTGCTACTCTGCGGAACTAGCTTCCTACTTAACATCCCCCCAGTAAGTCATCATTTATTCAATAGCTGTAAGGGACTGAAAATTTTTCTCTCCTAATTACAGATACACGAAACCGATAGATACCTATGAAGAACTAGCCAGCAGTGGACTGACCTGGATCGCAGATCATCCTTTGTGGACCTTTGGAATTTCTGCCAGCCACGAGCCTCGTGACGTAGCGGTAGTGAAGCAATTCAGGGTGTGTCTTCCATTTAATTTCTAAAATTGTGACAATTCATTTTTTCGTTTTAATATAGGTATTTCCGTTCCCCGATATATTGAAAAAAGCATTAACGGGAAAGGACGGATTAGCAATTGAGAGGATTGCCGAAGGTTCTCCTAAAGAATGAAAGTATTGTTAGCTTAAACATCATAAAGGTTATTTTTAGGGCATTACTCCCAACATGCTCATATTACGGAAGAGGTCGTCGCTAAACATCATGTCATGAAAGAAATGATCAATGCCTCGCCGCTGACTATGGTGTTTGAGAAAGGTTCGGCATACGCCGATAGCTTGGACGACCACATTAACCGCCTCCATAATGGTGGAATTTACATATACTGGGAGTACAAAATGGCCAGAAAGTTACTAGATTACAGGTAGAATGTAAAATATCCAGGCGTTAAAGCTTACATAAAGCGATATTTTTATCCAGGATTCAATTGGCATTGACGTTTGCTAAAAAGGAAAGTAAGGGGAGCGACGAGCCGAAGATCCTGACCATCGAGCACATCCAAGGAGCCTTTTTTATATATGCATTGGGAATCTGCATTTCATTTGGTTTTCTCGCTTTTGAATTGCTACAACACAAAAATGGTGAAAAACTGCCAAACAAGTCAGGAACAAATATGACAAAAAATGAGGAAAAATCAACTGTCGATTGTTGAATCTTAAGAAAATACAGCAAATCTATTACTTTTAAAACTAATGTGGAAAATTATGATTAAAATCAATTAGTTTAATTTTTCTATCTTTTTGCATTAGTTCTTAAAATCTTAAAGATATCACAGTAGCAATGAAAAAATGTATAACTTAACACAATGCTCTACCATATTCACCATATTTAAAGAACTCTTTGAAAAATATTTCTGTAATTTTTTATTCACAACCTTGTAAGTGTAAATTTCTCAATAAACAACTTAACCCTTTTTTGTTTTCACCCCCAAATCGGGACTGGACAGCGTCACCACTTTTGAAGAAATAGGTTCACTTCTGGGCCGGGTCGCAAGGCAATACCAAGCTCTTTCCATAAATTGGGCAGCTTGGTTTGGGGTGAGTGGCCTACCACAAAGGAAGACCTGCGTGTCCTAAAACGACGACTCTATCAAGAGGAACTGGATGGCTGGGCGGATCTTGGGGGCCACCGGCCACCGGAGTAACGATCTTTGCCGGCGATATGGTGGGTAACCGTTGTCTCTCTGACCCCGAGTCTTCATAAGGAGGCATGATGAATAGTTCGTAGACGATTTTTCTTTGTACACCTTCGAGATTTTTGGCGTTTTTATTATTGTCCACTGCTTTAATCCAGACTGGTGCTGCATAATACATCAATAATGGTAGATGGATCTAGAATAGATGATTTGAAGTGCGTCGGATCCCACGACCCAGTATACCTTTGCCGAACGAGCAAGCATATTAACCAGTTGCAATGCTTTTTGGCTAATGTAATGTGCTTTTCGACATGTTTCTTTCAGGTAAACTTGCTTCTGACCTCTTTATATGAGATTCGAAAATCTGAACGTGTAAATAATATATCTATTAATGTTTTTGCTTTGATGGAAAATAATGACTTTTATCCCATAAAGATATATGCAAAAGAATTTCCAGACCACACAGATTTATTTTTACTTGAAAATGGGGATCGGAGTCATTACTGTTATATTAAGAATTTTGAAAGGCTGTTTCCTATGAACGCAAACAGCGCAGACACCCGTTTTATATATGTAAAAGATATTTTACCCATTTTGATAAACGTAGGCAAAATTGCGAGAGTGTATTTCAGGATCGTATTAAATGGTGCGAACAAATGAAGGGAGTACGAGTAAAACTTCCTCAACCAGATAAAAATGTCTTGCAATTTGAGAAAATCAAACACCAACAGATTCTACGGTTCGTTATACATGCTGATTTTGAAAGTATCTTGGAACAAATTCATACATGCACTCCCGATAACACGAAATCTTACACAAACTATGTTCAGTTTCATCAGCCTTACTGTTATTGCATTTACATTAAAACTTCAGAGGAAGTACCCCTCACCTTGTTAGATGACATCACTGTAAAATCCGTTATTTGCGGGAGAGAGAAGAGCAGCTCCCCAAAAATTCATGACCACGTTACTCGGATTCGCCGAGCAAATTAGTATGATTTATTAACTCAACGAGCCGATGAGAATAACCGTGGATGAACAAATCGCGTACGAACAATCCTCGAGGGACATATACTCGTCTCATTTCCCTTAGTTCTGAGTTAAATTTAGACCTTTGGTATTGCCTTCTAATTTTTTTTAAATAATTTCCTTATATCTGTAAGCTCTTTAGTCCGCCAAGGATTTATTTTCTTGGGATCTTTGGCTATTCTGTATCTTACTAGACTACTCTAACGTCCTGAACATTTTTGACAAGCTCCTGATGTGTTGTATCCAGATCGTTGACTTCTTTAGTATTGTATCCCAGACTATCTATAAGAATGGCTACTTCACCACTTAAAACGCGATCAAATTTCTCCCAGTCCGCTAATTTAACTTTATATTTGTGCCCTTTGTTTTTAGTTTGATCATTTTGTACACTGTCATAGCTAATCGAGTAAGTTAAAATGTCATGATCCGACAATGATTCTGTTTTACCATTTTCTCAATTATTAATGCGTTTTAACAGGGCTGTTGTACATATATTTAAATCAATGTTTTTCCGGCACTTCGTCTGAAAACTTGGTTTACCATCGTTTTCATTTAAATGAAAAGTAACTTAGTCATTACAAATTCCTCCATTAACTCTTCCTTGTTGTTAATTAGTCTATCATACCAAGATATCGACCTTGCGTTGGTGCCAACTCCTATTATGACATCCATAATTTTGTTCTTCTGGAAATAATCTAAGGCATTTTCTAATTGTTTCATATTATCTTTAATATTTATCTTCAAAGTAGGCGAAAATTGCCCCAATTGAATTATTATTACCAAATTTGATTTTAACACTTGGAAGGCCTTCGTTTGGAATTTGTTTTTATCATTATAATATCCAATTCATCATTTGGGACTGTAATAATCGCTCTTTTCCTGTGATCGGCTCGTGGAAAACTTTCAATTTTTTGGGAAAACCTGTCGCCATTGAGTTATGGCTAAATTTCTCCATTTTCAATTAATTGTACAATGTTCGTAGTTGCTGCTTGTGAATGATGTAAGTTCAGCTGCAAAACGTTTATTACACCATCCGATGTGACCTATTTAGAGGCCATTATCTATTGATTGTTTAGCTTGATCGATTATTTCAGCGTATGTGCGTACGCAGTGTAATTAACGCATACCTTATTCGTCTCAGTCTTTAATATCTGATTGTACAATTAAAACATTTAATTTTTTTTGTCTTTTACGGTGCATAGTTTTAACTGTCCAGAACAAATGGCGCATACGATATCGTTTATACATTGACCCTTATCATATCGGCTGCAACGAAAACACCTGCGAATAAATATGTAATCCTCGGCTCTACACATATTCCAAAATAGTTTTATTTTCCTTTCCAAAATCTTTTTACGCATGTCTGGGTTTACTTCAACTATATTATTCCTTTTTTTCCTATCCTTATTGTTTGAATATCAAATTTACATTCAATTTTACTGTCTGCCGTAAAACTGTCTCTTTAAAATTATCCTTATTTGTAAAGATTAGTGACCGTTAATCGATAGTTATTCAGATATCGTGAGATGCGGTCGGGACCAGATCAGAAGGAACATTTTTATCTTTCGGTTTAACCACTAGGTTAAAAACATTTTTGGTTAATCCTACCTTGCCTCGCACATCATCATGTGTGTGGTGATTAGTGACCTTCAGTCGATGATTATTCGGAAATCGTGAGATGCGGTCTGGTGTGATGTAGGTTTCAGAAAAATATTTTATCGTGCCAACGTTTCGATCTTTATTGAGATCACCTTCAGGGACTGGGATTTACAAATATAGTTTAAATTTAACAAATATATACATGTAGGTTGTGGAAAAAAGTGAATTTATACTATGCAAAAAAATATTTTTTATATCTAATCAAAGTATTTCTACTCACTCAAAGTGTTTGTTTTCTGTGTAATTGTGTGTCGTGTTGAAAGTGGCAGTGAGATAATGCTGTTTTAAGTTTATATACATTGGATTTTGAAGGGATGGGGAAGGAAATCGGTATAGGAAGACATTTTTGTCAAGGAGTCGGCTTCTTTGAGGTGAAAAGAACCGACGATGGGAAAATACGTTGGCAATGGTTCGGCCAGATTATCTTTTCAGGATTATATAGACGGGGATAAATAGGAAAAGGAAAGCTAAATCGTTGAAAAAATAGACTATGTAAAAATGTTTGATGTGTGGAATGTGATGAATGTTTTATATGTTATATTATATGTTTTGTGTGATGTGATGATATATGTATGTTATCGATATTGAATTTGGTTAATGATATTGGCATAGCTGCGACTGAGTTACATGTGTTTCTAACCAATTTCTAAAAAGTTACGTTTATGTTTGTTTTGTTTTATGTGTAATATTTTTAGATTGAAGTCGAAATTGTGTTTGTGTTCAAAATAGTGGGAAGCGATTTCATGTGTAAATTATAGGCGTGGGTGAAAGCTATTCAATGTATCTAATGTAGTTTGAATTTGATCTGTGGGAACTGCTGTAGGATTTTGCTTGGGTTTTTGCAATCATAGATATGTTGCTTTACTCTCTTATCCAGATATTGGTATGTAAGACCGATGTAAGTTGCCGGACAATTGATTTTGTAGATTACGTCAGATTTATTTGTTATTGGTGTGGGATCATTAATTTTGGAAAAAAGTGTTTGAATTGTTTTATAGTTTTTGAAAGCTATTTTAACGTTATCGGACGAGAGAAATGTGTTTAATTTGTGTGATAGGCCGTTAATGAATGCCATGGAAATGTATGTTGGTTTGTTTGTATTTGATATATTTGATGTAGTATTATTAGTAATAGTAGATGATGTTAGTGTTAAGTTGTAGTTGTTGATTATTCTGTTGATTATGTGTTTAGGGTAGTGATTGTTATGGAGGATCTGTTTGTATATCTTTATGTTCTTGTCATGAAATGATTCATGGCTTAGGGTAATAATTCTGTGAAATAACCCTTTGGCCGTGTTTATTATTGCGCTCTGTGTTTCTTGGTTTTTGATACCAATCTGTGATTAATGTGCCATCTGGTTGTTTTATTACGAATGTATCAAAAATGGTATTGTTTTGTTGTTTTCGATTTCATGTGTAAATTATAGGCGTGGGTGAACGCTATTCAATGTATCTAATGTAGTTTGAATTTGATCTGTGGGAACTGCTGTCAATATATCATCTACGTATTTAGTGAGGAAGGGTAATATGAAAGGAAGTTGTGGTATAACTGTGTTTAATAGATGTGTCATAATTATGTCTGCAAGTATTGGGCCTAGGTTGCTACCCATGGCTATGCCAAATAGTTGTTTGTAAAACGGATTGTTGTACGTAAAATATCCGTTAATACAGCAGTGTCGAATCATTGTTATGAACGTGTTCTTTGATAGACTTGTGTGTGGTGTTTTGTTGGGCCATTTATCTTTAATAATTTCAGTGTTGTGTCTATTGGCATGTTGGTGGACAATGATGAAACATCTAGGGATATGAGAGAGTAGTGTGAGGGGATGTGAATATTATTAATTTTGTTAATGAAATGAATCTTTTACGTAATGTGTTATCTGTGATGTTGAGTATGTTGGTTAGGTATTTTGTCATGTTATATGTAGGGAAATTTACAAATGAAATTATGGGTCTTAGAGGGTGTTCAGGTTTATGTGTTTTTACAGATCGGTACAGTTTCGGGGGCGTTGGTGAGTTGTTTTGAAGTGATTTGTAGGTGATTATGGCAATTTCTTTTTGTTTAAGTGTTTCTTGGAGAATTTTGTTTGTATGTTTGTCGGGAGAAGAGGTAGGGTCTGATTTGATTATGCTGTATGTGTTTGTCATTGATAATTTTGTTACTTTGTCCCTTGTACTCGTTTTTGCTGAATGCTACTGTTTGTTTTCTTTTATCAGCAGAAAGAATGAGTATGTCAGGATTATTTTTGAAAAAAATTTTGGTTTTGGTGTATGTTTATTGAGATATGTTGTGCTGATTTGTAGTGAGAGTTGTAAGTGATTTGTTATTGTGTTAATGCATTTTGATCGATTCCACAGATCAAACACTTTTACATAGCCCAATTTTTCAACGATTTAGCTTTCCTTTTCCTATTTATTCCCGTCTGTATAATCCTGAAAGGATAATCTGGCCGAACCATTACCAACGTTTTTTCCCATCATCGGCTCTTTTCACCTCAAAGAAGCCGACTCCTTACCAAAAATGTCTTTCTATACCGATTTCCTTCCCCACCCCTTTAAAATTCAACGTATATAAACATAAAAAAGCAATATCTCACTGGCACTCTCAACACGACACGCAAGAATGACACAATTACGCAATACTTTGATTGAATATAAAAAATATTTTTTTGCATTGTATAAATATAAATGTATTTGTTAAATTTAAACTTGTAAATCCCAGTCCCTGAAGATGATCTCAATCTCAATAAGGATCGAAACGTTGACACGATAAAGAAAATGTTTTTCTGAAACCTACATCACAGCAGACCACATCTCAATATTTCCGAATAATCTGAGAGTATGAAAATCTGTGCAGTTTTCACTCTTATCTTTATTAACTCCTGTACATAGAGTTCTACCTTAGCTTGGAAAATTGTTGGGATTAGTCCAAGGGGCTTTACTAGGGTACGGTTCGTCCCTTTTATCCCTTACCCTACTCCCTGTTCCATCCTAGATCCATCTGTGTACCATATAGTTGTAAATTTAGTAAAAAATAGTAAATTTTAATATTTGGAGTTTAATTAAAATTCTGGATGAGTTCTTGGCATTTTTAGGGAACTACAATAATTTTTTCGTATAATATAAATACTTATCGGAAGATTGGAATAATCGGCCAGGTAGACATGGAATAAAAGAAACGAAAAACTACGTTTTTAAGTTTGTCGACATTTCGTCAAATTTATTCTCAAGGCGGGTATTAATTGAGCTTTTCAGGCAAACCTAAAAGTTTAAGTTTCAAGGTTGAAACCTGTTTAGACATAACTCTGCCTTATTTCCCATGAACAGACAATTAATCACACTGGGGTACAGATTCAACCAAGGGGCGGCGGACAATTTTTCTAATAATATTTCTATACCTACATCATTTAATGCACATCTTTAGCTTAACATTGTATGATGAACATGATACCAGGCGAAACTTTCGCGAAAAAGTCTCCATGTAGGACTTGCCTTTTACACAAGATCAAATGTTCTGTCAAGCCAAACTATGGTTAAACAATATGACAAAACAACAACCTTCTATTTGTGTTTCGTTCGTGCGTGATTGAACTTAGCTTGATCAACAACTATTAACTATTTAAAAACCTTGGTTTTACTGGGAGAATCGTAAATTTATTATTTAATTTTTTCTATCATGTGGCTCCCCTTTTATCAGAAATGTGTGTTGACATTTTACCTGTTACTTAAGCGATATTATTTCATCGGCAAACAAGGCATAATCGGTTCTCATCGAATATTTATTTTGTCTTTTCAATAGGATTAAATAGGGCTTGAACGGCAGAAGTCCTGCAGAAGGGAGGAACTGTTTAACAATGATCCTGTACTTTCTCATAAGTTCGTTCTTTTATTTTATGGCTGAAGCGCAAAATTTATTTCCGGATTTTATTCCGGAGAATATCACCGGAGGAAACATCAACGATCAGATGGGATCTCTAGCAGAGCAGGTAATATGCTAAAACAGCTGGAAAAGCAATTTACACTAACTTAATAATTAATAATTACACTAGTTTAATTAATTAAAGAAATACTAAACTTAAACCTTTTAAGGATCGGATCAGTACCGCTCGCTAAGTGAATTAGCTCTTTTAGCCCACTACTCGGGCACCAAATTTTTCTTACCATCCCCTACCACGATTCCATGGGTAAAGTTTGGCGTGTTTTGAAAATTTTAGTGTCCCAGCGCCAGGGCCCATCGTAAATGTTGTATGTCTGAATTAGGTTGTTTTATGAAAAGAAACTTGAAGGGGCGAGAACCCAGAATATTTGACTTCTAAGTCCGAACGGCCCAGACCTCGAGTTCAGAATTGAAAGAGTGAAGAGCTGTAGGATCGGAGAACCATAAGTACGAAGAGCAAATCAAAAACTCTAGGAAAATAGAGCGAAGAGCAGTAGAAACCAAGAGCTTTGGGAGCAAAGAACTGTAAGATCGAATGGCTGTATATGCGAAGAACTGTATGAGCGAACAGCAGTACGAACGAAGAGCTGTAGGAAGAAAGAGCTGTGGGAGCGAAGAGCGGATGGAGGGTCAAAATCAAAGGATGAAGTTATTTGTCAAGTTTCTGAGTGATAGTAAAGACAAAATTCAAAATTATGTGGCAATGGGCTCGCTATTCAATAATTCAGTTAATTATTTTGATCAGGTGTTGAGCCTCAATACAAGCCTTAGTCAATGGCCTTTCTTTTGGACCATATCGTTAATTTGATTTCAGTATTTTCCAGTAGTGATGGTTTCATATTACTACATGGAATGAATCATGCGGAACACTTGAAGTCACTAGTGTCTATTATTTTTATCGGGTTCAAGCTGACCTCGGAAAATGCTCTCTGGTTTGTCGGTTTACCATTCTCTTCTACGTTNAAAACCAAACATATATAAACATAAAACAGCAAAATCTCACTGGCACTCTCAATACGACACGCAAGGATGGCACAATTACACAGAAGACAAACACTTTGAGTGAGTAGAAATACTTTGTTTGAATATAAAATATATTTTGCATTGTATAAATTCACTTTTCCACATCCTAAATGTAATTGTTAAATGTAAATATTTTTTGTAAATCCCAGGCCCTGAAGATGATCTCAATAAAAGATCGAAACGTTGGCACGATAAAGAAAATGTTTTTCTGAAATCTACATCACACCCGACCGCATCTCACGATATCTGAATAACTATCGATTAACGTTCACTAATCTCTACACACTTGTGCGTTATCTTGGACTTTTCATGGATAAACTACTGACTTGGAATCCCCATACAAGACTGAAAAAACAACAAACAAACCGACGTTATAACTTGTTAAAAAGACTACTCGACTCACGATCAAAATTAGACCTTGAAAATAAACTTTTAATTTACAAGACAATGATTAGACCTCTGGGCGTACGGTTATGAAGTGTGGGGCTCAACCAAGGATTCCAATTCCCAGCGTCTCCAATCAATACAATCTAAAATTCTCCGTCAAATTATAAATGCTTCTTTTTACGTTTCAAATTACACTATCTATAAAGACCTACACATCCCGTTTGTACATGAACTCATCAAAACCCGATATAAAAAATTTCATCAATCACTGAACACACACAGTAATCTATTCGTATGAAATTTATCACTTCCAACCCTACTTGAAAATCCTCCAAGACGATTGAAGCGAAAGTGGCCCCGAGACCTTCTCATTGTGTGAAGACTGAACAAGATATCAGTGTGAAGGAGTGTTATCACTGGGCGACTTCTCCTACCAGATCCTCATATGATAATTCAACATATACGAACATATTTACTTAATACATCACTTGTAGTTGTAAATACCAAATAAATGTAATAAAAAAAAGTTTTTAAACTGATATTTTGGAATCATTCAGATGAACGGCAAGTGAAACTATCGATCAACAACTTCGCGGTGAGAGTCGGGACGCCGAATAGGACCGGAAGGATACCTCTTGATGAATGGAGTCCACTTCTAGGATTCAAGAACAACGTCAATCTTTACCCAAACAAAATGAAGGATTTGAAAGGAAAAGGTAGTTCAATGTAGAATCTATATAGTATATTTGTTTTGAAGAAACCTTTTCATTTCTGTTTAAGAAGTGAGATTCGCTACTGTGCAGTATTTGCCACACGTCAACCTCGAACCTTTTGATGGCGATGAAGCCAGGATATTTATAGAATATTGCGAAAGGCATAACTGCACAATAAAGGTTTGTGACGACGATGGACATCAGTGGGGCAGCATTACAGGATACAGGCAAGGAAATGGTACATCGTGTAAATTTTTTTACATTCCGTTTTTTTAAAGATAACTGTGTGTTAGGATATTTATGGTCTGATGAGACATTTCATTAGAACAGTAATTTCTTCTAGGACTAATTGGAAGAGTTTATAAAGGGGAAGCTGACATTGGAGGAGGATCATTTACAGCAATGATAGATTACTATCCTCATATTGACTTTTCCAAAACCTACATGCTTTCCGGTGTCGCTTTGCTAGTACCGAAGGCTGTTCAGCTGAGTGCCTGGAGGACTCCGTTTCTCCCGTTCGGTCTCGTGATGTGGATCGTCTTTTTCTGCTGCGTGATCTGCTCTTCTTTAGGACTTTACGCTGTTACAGCACTCACCGTCAAATATACACGTAATGAATTAAGCATTGTCAACTACAAGTTGAAAAATCGAGTGTGCATTTAGGTTTTGGCCATAATATTAAGAAGAAAGGGGTATTCACCTCATTGACCGATTCGATGATTAGATCCTTTGGTATGACAGTGTTACAACAGCCGGCGTACCAGTTTGTCAATTTGCCTGTTCGGCACATCTTCACGTCTTTTGAATTTCTCTATCTAATCCTGACTGCTTGTTACTCTGCGGAACTAGCTTCCTACTTAACATCCCCTCAGTAAGTAATCATTTATTCAATAGCTGTAAGGGACTGAAAATTTTTCTGTCTTAATTACAGATATACAAAACAGAGAGTGACAGTCAAAAATTAATTTTGTTTTTAAATCAGCTGATCAGCTATCTAGTAAGACGCGTTTTTTGTGCTCTACTTTCATTGACTTATGACTCGACCTAAAATTGGGGGCTAGTCGATTTTGTTTGTTTTTGACTTTCCTTCTGGAGGGCGAAGCATTGCAGCCGAGCTTGCGCCCACTTGCTTCTCAACAAGGTTAGAGTTCGCAATCAGGTAAGGCTCGTTAATCTGGCAACCCGTATACCCTCAATATGGACCTAAGTGAACCAGAACTATCCTCTAGTGAAGAGGTACGTTCTAATACATCTTCTCAGTTTTATTCTTTAAAAAATAAAAGACCTCCACCATCTGGCAATTCTCTCAAAAATAAAAAGAAGAAGAAAGGCAGACCGACTAAAAATAATTTGATAGATGAAAATAGAGACCAAATAGAAGAAAATTCAATACCAAATGAGATCCTCACAATTGGGCAGCCGTCAAAGAGTGCGATATGCCATTATGTTTTATTAAAGCAAACCCATTTGCTCCATTAGCGAAGTTGAACGAAGAAAATAAAACAGCTGAGCTTAAGCAACCTCCCAAACCCGTTAAACCACCACATATATTACTTAAAAACTGAATATCATACCTATCAGCTTCAAGAAGATAAGGCTTTTTGGGTCGTTATGCGTCACCTTCATTACTCTATGCCCCCAGAATTAAGGCTACAATGTTACGAGTGTGACCAATGTAAAAAACCCCACTACAAAAACTAGTCTTCCCCCGTTCTTTATTGACCTGGAACCAAACCCCATAAATGAAGAAATCTTTACATTGAGCAATCTCCTTTATACAAAAATTAAGGTAGAAGAACCCTACAAAACACGACAAATATCTCAATGTAAAAGGTGTCAAGATTATGGTCATACGAAAGCTTTCTGCAACCACTTCCCGCGTTGCGTGAAGTGCGCTGGTTCTCACTTGACAGCAGATTGTACGAGATCACGAGAGGAACCCGCAACATGTGTGCATTGTAAAAAGGACCACCCTGCAAACTATCGTGGCTGTTCTTCCTACAAGGAGCTACAACTCTTGAAGAGAGGACCATCCTTTGCAAGAAGAAAGACAGGCAATGATACTCAAACAGTGGTTTCTCCGCATCGAGTTCAACGCCAGTTTTCAAGCTATGCTGAGGCGAAGAAGCAATCGTTAAACCATCCTCTTGCTAAGCTCATTCCACCTCAACCTCATAACACCTCCATTCCACCTCCACCTCATAACGCTTTCATTCCATCTCCTTCTCCCTTCAGCAATGTAACTTCACTTCTTTCTAGTTTCCTTAGCGATTTTAAGTCACTTATCACACCTCTTCTAACACTTCTCAAAAGTGTAGTGAATCAGACCCTTCCGAAACTTGCCGGCTAGCCATGTCTTCACAATCATTATTCATTCTTCTTTGGAATGCTAATGGTTTGAGTTCCCACAAAGATGAACATAGTGCTACATGACAAACGAATAGACATAGCACTAATTACTGAGACACATTTAACAACTACTCTTTTTTTACTATCAAAGACTACATTACTTACAGGACAGATCACCCTTCCGATAGGGCGCAAGGCGGCACTGCAATACTCATCCGTCGCACTTTATCACACTTTGTAAACACATCATACACACTAATATCCACTTCCATCACCTTAAATACCTCCTCCTTCCAATTGAATATTGCAGTTGTGTATTGTCCTCCTAACCAAGAGTTGTCACAACACGAATTCCAATCTTTTCTCCGATCACTTGGACCTCATTTCATTGCTGGGGGTGACTTCAACGCCAAGCACCCACAGTGGGGTTGCCGTGTTTCTAACCCACGTGGACGGAACTTCCTTAACTCTTTATCCTCAACCACTTACACTGTTATTACACCTCCAAACCCAACGTACTGGCCAACATCTAACCGTAAACTTCCTGATATATTAGATTATTTATAACATCCGGAATCTCTTCAACCCATCTGGATATTTCAAATTCATTTGATTTTTCTTCCGATCATAGCCCAGTTCAACTAATTCTTAATTTTGCCCCTTCCATTGTACCAAAACATCCTTACCTAATAACTGGACCTACAGATTGGAAAAATTTCCAAACAATAGTAAACAAAAATGTTAACCTACACACATCTCTAAAAACTGCAGAAGAAATTGACAAAGCTGTAGACGTTTTTTCAAAATTAATACAGCATGCAGCATGGGTGTCAACCTCCCCCAACTCGAAATAATCAACAGTTATTATTACCGCCACACATTCGGCTACTTCTAACTGAAAAGCGAAGGGCCAGGGCAATCTAGCAGCGTAACAGATATCCGAGTGATCATCGACGGGTGAACCAACTCGCGAGAAAGCTGAAACAAGAACTGGCCAAACTTAGGGCTGAAATGTACAAACAATATACTACTTCGCTTTCCAAAACAGACAAGTCTTTGTGTGCTGTCCTGCGATATAAGGACCACACGCCTCCTATACGTAGTAACAACGATTGGGCATAATCCAATTCCGACATTGCTAAATTGTTTTCAGAGCATCTTTCCACAATTTTTACTGCACACCATGACATGCTTGATCATGACCATCAGCTTAACACTGAACACGACTTGAATGTCCCCTTGCAACTCTCTTATCCTCCTAAAGCATTTACTCCATCAGACATACGACACACTATTAAACAACTAACTACCTTCATGAAAAGCTCCAGGTTATGATCTAATTACAAAACAAATATTACAAAATTTGCCCCAAAGAGGCTTACCATACTTAACAAACTTATACAACGCTGTACTCAGGACCATATATTTTCCATTGCAATGGAAGTTCTCTATAATTAAAATGATTCATAAGCCAAATATTCTGTCTTCTGATCTTCCAAATTCCTATCGACCCATTAGTCTCCTTTCTATCCTTGCCAAAATACTAGAAAAACTACTTCTCCGACGATTACTGCCAATAATCGAAAATTCTAATATTATTCCAGATCATCAATTTGGGTTTCGCACATTTCACTCGACAACGCAACAATTACGTGTTGCTGACAATATAGCCTCTTCCCACGAACAAGAACAGCATTGCTTGGGTGTCTTTCTTGATTTAGAACAGGCCTTCCATCGAGTCTGGCACTCGGGCTTGCTTTGGAAACTGAGGAACATCCTCCCTCATACGTACCATATTATACTGAGATCTTATCTGACGGATCGATTTTATCGAGTCCGTCAGGGAACTGAATTCTCACCTTATATACGCATGAGGGCTGGTGTTCTTCAGGGAAGCATACTTGGCCCTTTTCTATTTTCCATATACACTGCAGATATTCCTACACACGTTAACATTTCGACACACACATTCGCTGATGATACAGCGATTCTTACACGCAATTCGGACCCCACAATTAACACTCAACACTTACAACACCACCTGAATGAATTAATAATATGGTTCACAAAGTGGAGAATAAAGGTAAACCTAACAAAAAGGACATAGATCAATTTTACCTTACGTAAAAATGTCTGTCCTGCGGTGAGTATAAATGGAATTTCATTGCCTACCACTGACCTTGTGCGTTATTTATTCAGATATCGTGAGATGCGGTCGGGTGTGATGTAGGTTTCAGAAAAACATTTTCTTTATCGTGCCAACGTTTCGATCTTTTATTGAGATCATCTTCACTTACAACACCTCACTACAAATCAACACAACATATCCCAACAAACATATACCAAAACCAAAAATTTTCTCAAAAATAATCCTGACATACTCATTCTTTCGGGTGATAAGACCAAACAAACAGTTGCAATCAGCAAGAAAGAGTACAAAGAAAAAATTGACAAAATTATCACAGACACAAACACATACACCATACTCAAATCAGACCCTACTCCTTCTCTCATCAAACAGACAAACAAAATTCTCCAAGATACACTTAAACGAAAAGAAATTGACATATACACCTACAAATCACTTCAAAACAACTCACCAATACCTCCGAAACTATATGGATCTGTAAAAACACACAAACCTTAACACCCTCTAAGACCATTTGTAAACTCACCCACATATAACCTGACAAAATACCTAACCAACATACTCAAGAACATCACAGATAACACATATAATGTAAATGATTCATTTCATTTCATTAACAAAATTAATAATATCCACATCCCCTCACACTACTCTCTCATATCCCTAGATGTTTTATCATTGTTTACCAACATCCCAATAGACACAACACTGAACATTATTAAAGATAAATGGCCCAACATAACACCACACACAACTCTATCTAAGAACAGGTTCGTACCAATGATCTGACACTGCTGTTTTAACGGATATTTTACATACGACAATCACTTTTACAAACAACTGTTTGGTATAGCATGGGTAGCAACCTAGGCCCGATACTGGCAGACATAATCATGACACATCTACTAAATACAGTCGTACCACAAGTTCCTTTCACATTACCCTTCCTCACTAAATACGTAGATGATATATTGACAGCAGTTCCCACAGATCAAATTCAAACTACATTAGATACATTCAATAGCTTTCGCCCACGCCTACAATTTAGCCTACATGAAATCGAAAACAACAAAACAATACCATTTTTAGATACACTTGTAATAAAACAACCAGATGGCACATTAATCACAGATTGGTACCAAAAACCAAGAAACACAGATCGCTACCTCAATTTTAAATTTTACCATCCTCTTCATACAATAATAAACACGGCCAAAGGGTTACTTCTCAGAATGATTACCCTGAGNTGTAGTTGTAAATACCAAATAAATGTAATAAAAAAAAGTTTTTAAACTGATATTTTGGAATCATTCAGATGAACGGCAAGTGAAACTATCGATCAACAACTTCGCGGTGAGAGTCGGGACGCCGAATAGGACCGGAAGGATACCTCTTGATGAATGGAGTCCACTTCTAGGATTCAAGAACAACGTCAATCTTTACCCAAACAAAATGAAGGATTTGAAAGGAAAAGGTAGTTCAATGTAGAATCTATATAGTATATTTGTTTTGAAGAAACCTTTTCATTTCTGTTTAAGAAGTGAGATTCGCTACTGTGCAGTATTTGCCACACGTCAACCTCGAACCTTTTGATGGCGATGAAGCCAGGATATTTATAGAATATTGCGAAAGGCATAACTGCACAATAAAGGTTTGTGACGACGATGGACATCAGTGGGGCAGCATTACAGGATACAGGCAAGGAAATGGTACATCGTGTAAATTTTTTTACATTCCGTTTTTTTAAAGATAACTGTGTGTTAGGATATTTATGGTCTGATGAGACATTTCATTAGAACAGTAATTTCTTCTAGGACTAATTGGAAGAGTTTATAAAGGGGAAGCTGACATTGGAGGAGGATCATTTACAGCAATGATAGATTACTATCCTCATATTGACTTTTCCAAAACCTACATGCTTTCCGGTGTCGCTTTGCTAGTACCGAAGGCTGTTCAGCTGAGTGCCTGGAGGACTCCGTTTCTCCCGTTCGGTCTCGTGATGTGGATCGTCTTTTTCTGCTGCGTGATCTGCTCTTCTTTAGGACTTTACGCTGTTACAGCACTCACCGTCAAATATACACGTAATGAATTAAGCATTGTCAACTACAAGTTGAAAAATCGAGTGTGCATTTAGGTTTTGGCCATAATATTAAGAAGAAAGGGGTATTCACCTCATTGACCGATTCGATGATTAGATCCTTTGGTATGACAGTGTTACAACAGCCGGCGTACCAGTTTGTCAATTTGCCTGTTCGGCACATCTTCACGTCTTTTGAATTTCTCTATCTAATCCTGACTGCTTGTTACTCTGCGGAACTAGCTTCCTACTTAACATCCCCTCAGTAAGTAATCATTTATTCAATAGCTGTAAGGGACTGAAAATTTTTCTGTCTTAATTACAGATATACAAAACCGATAGATACCTATGAAGAACTAGCCTGCAGTGGACTGACCTGGATCGCAGATCATCCTTTGTGGACCTTTGGAATTTCCGCCAGCCAGGAGCCTCGTGACATAGCTGTAGTGAAGCAATTCAGGGTGTGTCTTCTGTTTAATTTCTAGAATTGTGTCAACTCATTTTTTCGTTTTAATGTAGGTATTTCCGTTCCCCGATATATTGAAAAAAGCATTAACGGGAAAGTACGGATTAGTAATTGAGAGGATTGCCGAAGGTTCGCCCAAAAAATGAAAGTATTGTTAGCTTAAACATCATAAAGGTTATTTTTAGGGCATTACTCCCAACATGCTCATATTACGGAAGAGGTCGTCGCTAAATATCACCTCATGAAAGAAATGATAAATACCGCCCCGCTGGCTATGGCACTTGAGAAAGGATCGGCATACGCCGATAGCTTTGACGACCACATCAATCTCCTCCATAATGGTGGAATTTACACATACTGGGAGAACAAAATGGCCAGAAAGTTACTCGATTACAGGTAGAATGTAAAATATCTAGGCGTTAAAGCTTAAAGAAAGCTGTATTTTTAACCAGGATTCAATTGGCCTTGACGTTTGCTAAAAAGGGAAGTAAGGGGAGCGAAGAGCCGAAGATCCTGACCATCGAACACATCCAAGGAGCCTTTTTTTTATACGCAGTAGGCATCTGTATTTCATTTGGTTTCCTTGCTTTCGAAAGGGTAAAATACAAAAACAGTACAAAACTGCCACAAAATGTTAGGAACATATAAGACAAAAAATGAGGCAAAATCAACTAACGGTGTTGCTGAGTAATTAATTTTAATAAAGTATAGCAAAACTATTACTTTTAAGACTAATCTAATACTGAAAATTATAATTAAAAATTAAAACCTTAAAGTTGTCACAGTAGCAATGAAAGAAAAATGTATTGCTAACACAATGCTCTACCATCACCACATTTAAAGAATTCTTTGCAAAATATTATTAATATCTATATTTATTTATAACCTTATAAGTGTAAATTTCTCACTACACAACTTAACCCTTTTTTTCTTTTCATTCCCGAATCGGGCTGGACAGCGTCACCACTCTTGACACATGTATGTTTCCCATTGGGGATCGCACCTGGCACATAGGCCTTACTTTTAGTTGCTCAAGTTAGAAGCGACTCACCTCTGCTTACAGTAGACAGTCTGAACACCGTGAGGTTCGGTGTAGAAGCCACAATATCCCCAGACTAATCAGACATGCCGACTTCTCCCGCTTGCCCCGTCAGAAGGAGTGGGTCAATATTGTGCCCTTAACCGTGTGCCGCTCGTAAAGGGATACCCAAAAAGTCATGCTTTGAATAGCTGGGCGGATCTTGGTGCATGGAGTCGCAGTTCATCAACGCTAAGAAAAAATAAAGACGGAATCGCCCTTTCATAACTCTCCACTTGCGCAGAATCACAATAAATCATAAGCCATGATAAATGCCTGCAACCCCTAATCGCAGGCCCCTGTTATCAGGGCCACGCTGAAACCCCTATAACACTACCTGACAAAACCAGGATGAGGCATGATGCGGTGACCACGGACGAGGACCTGGTAACTGTCCTGAATGCTGCGACTCACGCTGGTTATGAGTATGACCATGACTACTATGACGTCATCTATATATTTATCAATCTAAACTGCTCATACGTAAATAGGCGTATTTATCATTTATTCTTATTCTATTAATTTTAATTAAATTAACTGATATATTCTTGTTAGGTGAATACTACAAAATAAAAATACAAAATGAAAATACAAACCAAAAGCAAACGAATGATAATCCTCATTTTTAATCATGGATTTACTTAAGAACATGATGATTACTCATTTTTTCAACAAACAGCTTTTCTCTTCTTTTCTCCATTTTAATGCAGTTGCATTCCCTTTAACCATGGAAAGACATGTTGAACAATGAGAATATTATTGTGAGAATGAGACATCGCAGGCGGCGTGTTCGGCCCGATTCCGAGAGACTGGAAGTGCCAATAGGAGGCCTGGGAGTGGATCTCAGCGTATTATGACGCTGAGGGAGGACAGAAACATTGTCATTGCTGCAAAACGGAACCCTTTCGATAGTGCCCGACAGATCCTAAATGAAGTACAAGATATTTTGGCAAATCCTTTATCAACATATGTTTCCCATTGAAGGTTCTTAACGTACGCACCTGGCACATAGGCCTTATCATACAATTAGTTTCTAAAGTTAGAAACGACTCACCTCCGCTCACGGTAATTAGTGTGAAACGGTGATGTTCGGTGTAGAAGCAGCCTTTATCAACAGTTTGCCTCACATCGTATGCCCCTTTGGGATAACTGGCAGCAACAGTCCGCCACCAGCACCTCAGGAGAATAGGGTGCATCGAGCGCCTAGAAAGGAATACTATTACACTCATGAGTCGTGTTTCTGCCTATAATGATAGCTGGCGCCGAAGAGTCTACCGAGAACAGGGGATGCGTACAATGTCCATGTTCGTGCTCCCCTTCAGTTCAGTTTTGAGGAGGCGATGTAATAGTCAGAGCTGGGATTTACTCAGGAGGACGAACTGGACTCCATATTGCTGAAGGCAACCTCACTGCAGTCCGTTATGTCCAAGAAATTATCGAGGAATATCTTCCTCAAACCAGGGATCTCATTGGCCGGGATTTTCGATTTCTGGATGACAACTATGCCTCATAGAGGCAGATCAATGTTTAGAAAACCTGGGGGGAAAATCTGCCCCTTCCCCTATTGTTTCCAGACTACAATCCCATTGACACATGTGGGATATGTGAAGAGAAGGCTTTTCGATCACCATCCGCAGCCAGTTGACCTGCAACAACTGAGTGCGGCGTTGCAACAACTACGGAGAGAAATTCGTTATGAAATTAGTAACAAACTTTTTAACAGTATGCCTAAGAGGTGCACATAGGTTTTAGCTAACAAAGGACATTATACACGGTGTTAATTGTTTAAAAAAATATTTCTAATAAACAAATTTATAGAATTAAAACCTTTTATTTTGTTATGTTTAATTAAATTTCCCTTCTGTAAAACACATAATTTCTAATAAATTATAATGCAATTTATAATAAAAATAAATTTAAAATGCTAGGTAAAGAAAATATCCTATTCATTTTTGAGCAGTTTACATATATATAATGTACATAGTAGAATCAGTTTTCAGGTTTGAACCTTTGATCGAAAGATAATCTTCAATCATCACGATTTATGGGTTTATTTATATTTTTTCATCAGGAGTGTTCTAACTGTTGTGTGTTCAGGGTTTAAGATATTTTTATAATATTGTAGCTTTCAAAATTATAGTACAATCAAAACTAACTAGTTTTTCATTCTATTTATTATTTTATTCTATTATTGTTTCGGATAGTTTCCGACAAATTTTGTCAGATTATGGACACAGTGCAGAAAACTTTTCAATTTCTTGAGGATGGCCGATCTGCACTCTAAAATAAAAGTAAAAATAATAAAACAGGCATTAAGGAGGTGGTGGCTGAGGCCGTCGGCGGGCCTGGTGTGTTCATGTCCGCCCCCTTGCTGCGGTTTCTGTTCATCGCCACCCTAAAGATGACGCCTTTATAAATAATAATAAAAAATGTGTCTATTCGTGGGTTTTCTGGTTTTGTTTTCGGTTTTTTATTACTGTTTATTATTTACAAACGCTAGGACATCCCATGAATAATCCCCGAACTAAATTAGGTCCATGTGATATCCAAACTACAAACAGTCACAGGTATTTTTTAACCATTAGCTATAATTTTTAAAATTATTATAATAAATTTTTCGTAACTCTATTTTAATTTATTTTCTATTGAGAAAGAAAACGCATAACAAGTTTGCAATTTGTTGAACGATAAGAAACAGGAAGAAACATTCTCATGAGAAAATTCTTATATTCAGAGCTATTTTGCTCAAATGTAGCCCAAAATAAATAAATAGAAAAACTACAAAGATTTTTTTGAAATATTTACTTTTTGTTTGTTGTTTGTGGAATGTTATGCTGTCATTATTTATTTCTTCTCTTCTGTGAAGGTATTAAGTATTAATGGTTATCTTCAAGGCAAAGAGCATATTGTATTTGTCTTATCAAGAACTCATTGGAAAACCAAACATGTCACCACAATGGAACCGTTGGTCTGGAAAAAATTCTGTCATGTGGTCAATTTTTGAATTTCGAAAATATGTTTAATTGAATCGATATTTGCTGGTTTTGAACTTTTTTTGTAAGGTCGACGAACATGCTCGCGGCGCGATTCAACAGTTTTCCGAAGGTGGCAGAATCTTTCGAAGGACGCCCGTATATGAAAGGAGAAGGCTGTAAGCCGTAAGCGCGCACATACGGAAGTTGAGAAACGTATTCGTCATTCCACAAAAAGTCGTTGAAATGCTTGCCAATGAGAAAATAAACGAATTCCACCAACACGGCAAGCTTGTAACATATCAGCCTTGCATGGAGGGTGAAATCTTTTACAAAATCAACGGCCCATATGCTTGTTAAGTGTTAAATGATATTATGAAGCCATATGAAATATACTGCACTGAAATTTATCGAAACGAGTGCGACAATCGTGCGTGCGAGTTCGCTGCTGCTACTGATGACATCGCATATCAAAAAAAACGGGTTAGTCGAGAATAGTAAATATCTGAACCAATTTGGATATAAGCTCGACCCAAAATTTTTAAATTCAGCCAACTAAATACCATGAATCTCGTGCAGGTGTACATTCCGATTGTTACAGCGACCGTCGACCTGATGAAAAACCTCATTCCCAACGTATCAGGGGCATCCAGAGTATACGGGCAAAATCGACGGCGACTGTTATTACGTTGTACGGCATGTGACATCGCATCAATAAGGCTACGAATTCATGTAGAAATTCTGCTCGCAATGCGTGATATAATACATGCGTATTGATATTACCAAGGCAAAATGAAGCATACCAAGAGTGAAGACGGCCTCAGAGGAAACGAGAGAGGAAACTCAGTGTTTCCTTTCCAACTCCTGCATATCTTCTATTAATTCAAAACACTGTAATGACAGTGGTTATAAAATATATTTTTTTACAAGTTTTTTCTTTTTGCTTTAACCGAACCTCAGAGGTGGCGAATAACATCTTCGTGCGGGAAATTATTGTTCTCTAGTGTAATAATTAATACGACGAAGAACTCAGTACTTACTTCCATGTGTGAATAAATCATCAAATGTCAATAATTCAACATTTATCGCCTTTAAAGTAGTCAGATGGGACTGAAATTTTCGAAATAACACTTATACGACAAATAACACCTGATCAATGTTTCATCAAATTTCTCGTCATTAAAATTTAACGTATACACTATTATTTTTATAATGCATCATATCTTCATAAAGTTGAACATAAATCAAAAATAGATTTATGTATATCTCTTAACTTTTTTAAAATAAATTGTATATTTGTTCCCTGCACAAATACCAGTACTGATCCCGGAGGGACAGGTTTAATAGTAACTAGTCTACTCTGGCATTCAGAATGACTGATAAGGGAAAATGATCCATCATTGTATAAGGAGATGTGAGGGTTACAAAGTGAGAAAGTGAAGGCTTGTGGGGTTAGAATTAGAAATAGATCGAAAGCTTAGTATGGACCTTTTGAATACGAGATGTGATCAGTTAGTTGGCAAAATATTAAGGTCACAATGGACAGTGAGATAAGAGACATACTAAGGAACTCTGACAATTTGTCTGAATACTGTTGATTCAGACGATGTAGAAGATGGCTACGCTTAAAAGCACTCTGTTATCAGATTAAGTGGCGAGGAGGATTCGGAGCCTCTATAACGGGTTTGCAGGATGAAAAAGTGTTGACAACGTTTAAGCACAAGGTCTATAGATGGATCGAAAGTATGGTGTGGCACTTTGTAAGCGGCTGTAAGCGGACGACAGGGCGGCGGCCTGGGATGAGTCTCTGATTTCGACTGGCTGGGGGGTGAGTCTCGGATCTTGACTCACTGGGGTGAGTCCTGCATCTTGACTGACTTTTGATTTTCCAGTCATCCCTTTTATACCGGGTCTCTCCCGGAGTAGGGTTGGAAAGGAAACTCAAAAGTCGAGGGAGTTCTCACGCCGCGGCTGGGCCGGCAAAGACGGCGGTCTAGCACAGGGTTGACGTATTCCCAATTTACGATGTCCTCCGTTCTTACCTGTCTACCTGGGTAACCATTTCCAAGCTACATTTGCCAGATGTGTCACGTCGTTCCCGTCTGGGTCTGCCTCACACTTCGACGTTTTTACCTAACTGTCTACCTGGGTAACCATTTCCAAGCTACATTTGCCAGATGTATCACGTCGTTCCCATCTGGGCGGTTGCCCCTTCAAAATACAACCTTTGTCCCTTTTCCTCGTTTACCTATTTTGTTCTTATTTTACAATTTAACTTATCGCTAAGACGGGGGCCGGCTTACACGGCAATGGATCATTTCCTTAACAGATGACGAAGTCGTGGATAGTGAAGTTAGCGAGGTAGTAATGAGTTGGACAATGTATCTGGGTTCTTTTGAGTATAAGGTTTGGTTGCTGAGGATATTAGATTCTGTTGATGTTCAAAAACACTTATACGCTTATATAAATAATTTTTCTTGTTATTGACTATTGCTGGTCAAATATGTTTCTTCACTCTTAGTATCAGGTGTTCTTTTAATTTTATTTTAATAATACTTTACAATTTCTAATATGGTAAATACGCTCGCACTTCATAAATTATTCAGTATGATAGATGACTTCCAGAAGAGTTTGTAATTGGACGTTAATCGCATTTGTATGTAAGTCCACTTTTCCAGTTCCCTTTTATGTTTTGCTAAAATCATTTGTGTTCACAGAAGATATGTTCAGAACAAAGAAGTCAAACATGCTATCTCAAAAAATTGTTGAAACACAAAAGAAAAACAATATTAGGAACTGTTGATTTTTAATAAGAGTAACGATAGTTCGACTTTGTAGAAAACATGGAAGTAGCTTTCGAAAGTAAGCACCCAGTCTCCTATCTCTTCATGTCAATGTTAGTCCATGTTCTCGGCTTCCTTAACTTTTCTGCAGTTGCGTGTTTTTGCATGTATCGCGATATTACAAAACCC